ATGCACATGGCGTCTTGGCCTTCATAGACATCAAAACTGCCGACCAGTCTGTCTAGGGGTATGTCATCACTCTTTGTCGGGTTTGGCAATCTGCTCAGGGCATCTGATAGCGTCATTGTTTTCCCTGGTCTGTACTGTACGTCAAAGTTGTATCCTTGCACCTTTATTAGCAAGCGTTGCAGACGAGGTGGTGCACTCGAGAGGGGTTTCTTCCAGATCATCTCAAGTGGCTTGTGATCAGTGTGGAGTGTAAACTCTTTCCCGAAGAGATAGCTATGGAACCTGGTGATGCCGAACACTAGGGCTAGTGTTTCTCTCTCTATGTTAGAGTAGTTGGCTTGTTCCGGGGAAAGACTCTTCGACGCGAATGCTATCGGCCTGTTGTTTTGAAGGAGACAGGCTCCCAGACCCTTCTGTGATGCGTCGACTTCCAGCACAGTGTGTATCTCTGGGTTGTAGTACTGGAGACACGCTTCAGTGGTGATGGAATATTTCAAGGCTTCGAATGCTGCTTGATGGTCATCCTGCCACAGATATGGCACATTCTTCTTCAGAAGATCCCCGAGGGTCGCTGCTTTGTCTGCTAGGTTAGGGATATATGCAGAGACGTATGTGATCAGGCCTAGGAATTTTTGCAGGTCTTCCTTGTCCTGAGGTGTTGGAATGCTGTGGATGTCCTCAATTCTGCCTGGGTCCGGCCGGATGCCGGTGTCGGAGTACAGTGACCCAAAGAAGTTGATTTGGTTGGTCTTGATGTGGCATTTGTTGCTGTTGAAAACTAAGCCTTCACGGCTGGCTGTTTGAAGTAGATTCAGGAGGTTGGCATCGTGTTCTTCCTCAGTACGGCCATATACAGCAACATCGTCAGCAATGCCGACGCATCCTGGGACCTGTTCTATGATGTCGTCCATGCACTGCTGGAAGATGTCTTGGCTGATGGAGAGACCAAATGGAAGGCGCTGGAAACAGTACCGGCCAAATGGCGTTCGAAAGGTGGTCAGCTCTTGGGATTCTTCCTCGAGCTTGACGGCCCAATACCCAGCTTTAGCATCAAGCTTCGAGAAGAATTTGGCTTGAGAAAATGCTGGGTTGAGTTCCTCTAGTGTGGGTATTTTGTGCAGACATCTCTTGAGGCTCTGGTTCAGCCGCTTAGGATCCAGACAGACCCTAAGTGTCCCATCTTGTTTCAAGCTCGTGGTTATCGAACTACACCAGTCGGTGTGATGGGTGACCTTTCTAATTACACCTTGCTGTTCCATCTTGTCGATCTCTATTTTGAGCTTCGGCTTCAGGTGTATGCTACACTTCCTGGGCGCGTCAATGCTCGGTTTAGCATCCTCCTTTAGATGAAGAGTTGCTCTGGCTTTGAAGTTTCCAATTGTGTCAAATTGGTTGGGGTACAACCTCACGAGGTCGTGGACCGACTTGATGGTGTCATGTGACAGATTTTGGGGTTCACCCACTCCTGGTTCTTTGGGTGATGCAGGGGGTTGAGGTGACGATTCAGTGGAGTGGATGGTGACCACTTCAAGCTCGCTGCACATGGGCAGGCCGGCTATGGCTGGTCCGGGTACATCTACGACGTAGAATCTGTTCTTTGTCCACTTCGGTGTCTTGTAGCGGCATAAAAGCTCAATGCACCCTAGGCATACAATCTCTGTACCGTTGTATGCCGTCAGCTTGGTCTTCACAGGCTGGACGAAAGACTTCCATCGACTTCCATACATCTGTTTGATCGTACGGAGTGGCAACGTGTTTCCTCCGGCTCCAGTGTCAACTTTTGTGATTAGTCGGTGTTTGCCGATGAGGTCGGGGCAGATAACGTCAAGCGTTGTGTATGCCTCCCTGTTGTTGTCTATCGAGCTCATGCAGAGGTTCGAGACAGTAACTGTGTGGAATACTGTTTCATATTCCTCTGAAGCTTCTGCTGAATGGATGGGTTGTTCATCTCTGTTGGTGTCATTTGGCTTCTGCTTGCCGGCATTGGATCGACTTTTGGATCTTGGTCTGCGAGTTGTATTTCCTCGCGATGGGCTGCGGCCACGTCTGGACGGAGATTTGCCCTTGCGTTTACCCTGGCTTTGGGTCTTTCTGCAGAATTGGCCCAATGGCCCTTGGAACCACATGATTTACATGTGTCCCGGTAGGCAGGACACCGTCTTGGTGGGTGGGATAGACCACAGTTGCCACAGGTTCTGCCAGTGGGTCAGAAAGCATGGACAGCTGTATGTGACGCCTCCAACGTCTCAAGGCACTTTTTGCCAGCAAGGATGGCTTCGTACTTCCGTCCCTCTTGTAGCATGTCATCGATGCTAAAACCAATGGGTTTGTCTAGAAGATCTTTCTGGAAAGATTCAGATGTGGTAGACGCAATCACTAATTCGATGATGCGTTCCGTCATTTCCTCTGGTCCGAAGTTACATTCGTGTGCCTTTGCTCGGCATCTGTTGACGAAGTTGTCCAGGGATTCATCTGGTTTCTGGCGATACCGCATAAGCTCCAGGCGATGTATGCGGAAGTTCACTTTGATGTGTAGCTGCTTCTCGAACAACTCCCATAACTGGTTGGGGATCAGTTGTTCTTCTGCTGACAGGCTTGAAGAATTTATCATTTTGAGGCCTCCAGTTCCGACTGCTATTTGTATCTTAACAGCACGCTTGGCAGGATCGGTGATTTCCTGGTCCCTGAAGCTCAGGTCCATCCGTTGTTTAAAAAGCTAAAACTCTTCTGCGATGTCTGTGGCACCCCAGTTCATTTCTGGGAACTTGGCCATGATGCAGGGCTGTGGGATAGAAATCTCTGGGATACAATTCAATATGCTACAGCACACGAAATTGTAAACAATAGCAACTGCAATGTAGCTTTAAAGGTAAGTGCTACGATTAGTGATCACAATAAATCACAACAATATAATTATTTCAATAATAATTTTGACTATTCAACAATGTATTTGTCAAAACACATATTATTGTTCATATATGAAATGTCCAGAGTTCTTTTGGTGAGCAGTCCTTTCTCCAAGAATGTCCAAACACAGTTTGTCCTGCTGTTCCACAGAAATGAGCGATGTACTGTCAGATTTCCAACTTGACTTGATGTCCCGTACAGGCCTCCGTAGATATGATTGATGCACAGTTCCGGCACTGGCGGATGAATACGGCGAATGTTCACTGTGATGAGCGGGAAGCGCACAGTTCCGGCGATGATGCGGAGTGATAGGGTCAAAGGTCACACTTGACGTAAAGATGCGTGAAGCGGTTCACAGGGCTTGTGATGTTCACGGAACTATTTGTTCATACGCACAGCTACAAGAATGTGTGCATGATAGCGAAACAATGTTTAACAATATGAAGGTGATTCAAAGGTGTACATTGTTACGTGAACTGGCTGGGGGGGGGGGGCCTGATGATCACTCCCGTAGATCAGACTTTTGACAAAGTTATTGTAGTGACTTGCCTTGGTCACGCGATGGTGCGACGGGCTGGTCCCTGACCGGTCGACCGTGTGTACGGGTCGAGTAAGCTCGGTCGAGTCCCGGTGCGGTCGCGTCAAATCGGAGCTCGATCAGCTTTCACTCAGCTCCACGAAAAAGACGAAAAAGTCCTCTGTCGCTATGATGCCGATGGTCGACTCGTGGCGAGGGGTTTTCTCTTGTCCGTGCTGTCCACAGCACGGTGTAGCGGTCCGCCTCAGCGTTGGCTCGGTGATGGCTTAGGCTTGGCCTCAGTCCGGCGATGACTCCGGGCTAGGCTACGCACGCAGCTGAGTTTCAGTTACGTTGCGTGCGGTGTGCAGTGGGCTTGGCGACGGTGGGTGTGCGGCATATAGTGTGTGGTGTGGTGCGCTGGATCTATGCACGCAGCGATGTACAGTTCACACTCAGGCAATCACAGCGGAAATGTTGTTGTTGCGAAGACAATTTCTGCTGCTTTCCGGTAGTTTTCAGTTACTCTTCTTGGTTGAGAGTGATGGGTGTTCTCTGGCCTTTTTCACCTCCGCTGCCAGCATGAAGTGAGATGAATCAATGAAGAACTCAGAGGAGATTATTCTCAGGTTCTGTGCCACTGCAGCTTTATTCATCAGACATAATGTAAGAGTGAGCGCGGGCGAACTGTTCACCTAATGTGCTTGCGCGCATACAAAGTAGTGCTCATGAAGTATCACAACAGGTACCTCAGTGTCTGATCAATACATAAGAGGTCATCCCTCCCCCGATTGTGTTCATGAGGTGTGCGTGAGAGCACGAGGGAGTGTTCCCTGTGTGCCTGGTGGTAGACTGCCCCGCAACGAGCTTGCTCCCCCGGCCTTGTCAGTTTGACCGCTCGCTGGCAACTGCCTCGGAATGACTGAGGGTCACAGTCAGCGCAAAACTGTCACAGTATCCAAAAACAGGGTAGTTTAATAACAACAATAATAATAAATAATACCGGAGTCTTATAGAGCGCACATATCTGCCAGTAATTAGGTACTCAAGGCGCTGGTAATTTTGTATTTTGCAGACAGGTAAATGAAGTTTATGAGAAATGCGAGACCCATTATATAACACCTTTATAAAGGTTTAAAATAAATAGTTTACAAGTGGATCTGAGTGTTTACAACCTACATGTCAGCTTTATTTAGAAGTGTGCAATGCTGACTTCATTTGGATATGAAGTGCATCATCGCTGCACTAGGTCAGTCATTATCGTTTCAAGCCTTTTCCACCGTGGCTTCCGCTAAACCCACCTATTCTCTTAACAAAATTTGTGGTAAAATTCATTTGTTTTTCTGAGGTCATTTAACAAAAACACATTTTGCTTTTGTGTTTGCGATTTTCCAGTATTTTTTCTTGCTACACCTTTTATTTGCACATCTTCATTTTGTCTATATACATGAACATAAATTCCCATACTGCCGGAAGATTTCCAGGGTGAGAGATAACCACTGCATATTCTGGATGAAGCAACTGTTGTATATGTACATGTATATCTAATGCCACATTGTTTGCACTTCATTCTTACTTTCGCCCATTGCCATGGGAAGTTCCAGGAAGGTCAATACTAATCGCCACCACTTTCCCATGAAGATTATCTTGATTATGGCAGATGGCTCCTGCTGCTTCAGGTTTGTAGAAAGACTCTCCGAGGCTTCCATCTTAACGGTTAATAAAACAAAAACAGTAACAAAAATTACATAGCAACTAAAACTGTACAAAAATATAAGATTTTTTTGCAATTCACTCTGCTGGAATTTCTTTTTCACTTTACAAAAGTTGACAAATTGTACCAAATGTGAAGGAATATTTTGGAGTTTTCACGTTTGTTAAAACAATTTAACATACATGTGGGAAATATTATTGACTTAATTTTATGAAATGCCTGGATTTGTTGCTGGTCCAAGAGGGGCCAGCCTACATTCCTCTTTGCACATGAATGACTGAGTGGCTGGCTGACTCACTGACTGAGTGTCAATTAAGAAGTAGATTTGCTTAAGTCTCACCTCAGCCTACTGTTATGTTCTACAGTTTCATGATTTAACCAATAAACAGACTGCAGACAAATTGCTTTTATCTCTGCAAATCGTGTTCGTTTTCAGTGTCACATCGCACACAAATTACAATGTCAGCTACTACACGAGTTAACCCTTGACCTTACTAGACTGGTTGCCTGTCACATGTAAACACCACATATACAGGTTTGCCAATGGCAATAAATTGGCAAAATCTGGCCCATTATGTATACATGTACATAGGTCACATGCATGAAAAGACTACCAGTGATTCGCCAGTACAAATCAACTATACATAAGTTTCATGTTATGTTGAGTTTCATCCTGTGAAATTCATTTGGTTTATAGTTTGTTATTTTTCTACAAAACAAATTGTATTCACTTTTGAATACCAAACAAAATGAATTCCAGCATCATGGATATACTAAATCTGACAACGTTTGGTATTTTTTTTACATACATCTTAAATTGTTAAAAGTTGTCAAATATATTATACCAACAATAAACTGCAATCACACAACAAAAGGACTGAAGAAAGAACAATTACCGGCAGCTTTTGATTAATGTTTGCTACACATCTTCCCCACATTTTACTTTAAGTGCTGACCAAAACAATTTGTTGTGGTTGTGGAAAAACAAGTGTGCGTATTCTTATTTCTCATGTATTTATTTTGAGGTCTTACATGTAAATAGCGATTTAGCGTGGCACATTTTCAACATTTTCCGCTGCTAATGCACATGGTTGTTAATAGGTCCATGCACACTAATACGGCATCAGCCAATATACAATTTTGTTTTCTCCTTTAAAAATACAGGTTTCTTTTATTTTTTATTTTTATATTTAAAGAAAATAACAGGGGAGGGGGGCAGTTTTGATAGTTGTCATCGAATAAATAGTTTATGACCTACTTATCCCATTATTGAAACGGCACTCACAATCATACTAATAAAGCATTTTTTTCAACCTTTCCTTGTCCTATTGTCCAAGAATTGTTCAGGTGCAGATGATTGGCCTGATAAGGCCATATGTGCACTGACTCACAGTCCAGACAATATCTTTAACTAACAGTTGACCTATGTGGTCCTCGTCATTTTGACAGACGAACAACAATAATAATATAGTGTACACGTTTATATATATTCCTGCCATTAGGTACTGTTGAAATTACCTATAAATGTGGGTGGTGAAAAAGCATATCAATAATTTACTCTTGAATTTCAAAGAGTGAAACAAGGGATAAGACATTTTAAACTGAAAATCATTCTTATTTTAGAATAAGTACTTTGAAAAAAAATAACTCAAGAGGAAACTACATGTACATGTGTAGAGTGAAAATGAAATCTATTCAATATCTAGTCCCTAGTATCAGTTGATGAAGTCAATTTCACCCTTTGCGACTAAGAGGATACATGGTGGGGAAAAATGTGATTGATCTACATGTATACCAAAAAATGGGGGGGGGGCCAACATGTGCCTAATTCCCCCAGGATTACTGCCCATGGGTACATTGTTGGCATCCGTCTGTCTCGGAAGACAATGGAGTATCTGTGCCTTGGTCAGTCCGTTGTACTTGCACAGTGCCTGCTGTGGCTGTAGAGCCCAATGCGGGAGCTACAGGTCCTTTGGCATTTGCTGCAGGTGTAGTTGGTGGTGGTGGCGACGGGAGCTGCCTGAAGCCTCTGCCGTCTGTGGGTCCTCCTTTCTTCCCACTGATTACAGGACCCCCGCCGTGACAGTAGATGCGATCTGATGTCGCTGATTCTAGGTCTGCTGGACTGACGCTGCATACCTTCAGATCACGTTTGCAGACGTCTTTGTAGTGGAGGGTGGGCCTTCCTCTTGGCCAAGTCCCTATGGCAAGCTCGCCATACAAAACGTCTTTTGGGATGCGTCCGTCATCCATGCGGCAGACATGGCCCAACCAGCACAAGGGTCTCTGGGTCAGGATGGCAAACATGCTGAGCACACCCGCCTGAGACAGGACAGCTTCATTTGTGACGCGATCCTGCCAGGTGATACCCAGGAGTCGTCTAAGGCAGCGCATGTGAAAAGCATTCAGCCTGCATTCTTGGCGGGAGGGCAGTGTCCAGGCTTCGCTACCGTAGAGAAGGGTACTCAGAACACAAGCTTGGTACACCTTCATCTTTGTGTTGGTTGTCAGCATGGTGTTGCTCCATACTCTTTTTGTCAGGCGAGCCATTGCAGTTGCTGCCTTTCCTATCCGCACATTGAGCTCGGCGTCTAGGGATAGGTTGCTTGAGATGGCAGAGCCGAGGTAAGTAAAATGGTCGACCACTTCCAGGGTGTGGTCGCCGATGGTGATTTGGGGATTGCTACTGACATCCTGGCCCATGATGTTAGTCTTTTTCAGGCTGATGGTGAGGCCGAACTCAGAGCATGCTTCCGCAAAGCGAGTGATGAGCCGCTGGAGTGCATCCTCGCTGTGGGCAGTAAGGGCGGCGGCGTCTGCATAGAGCATCTCCCTGATGAGCACTCTGCACACCTTCGTCTTTGCTTTAAGGCGGGCCAGCTTGAAGAGGTTCCTGTCACTCCTAGTGTGGAGGAAGATGCCATCTTCAGACTGTTGAAAGGCAAAGCACAACAGCAGGGAGAAGAACACGCCGAAGAGTGTCGGGGCCAGGACACACCCTTGCTTCACACCGCTCTTGATTGGGAAGGGGTCCGAGGATGATCAGTTATACTGAACGGTGCCAGTCATGTCGTCATGAAAGGATGTAATCATCTTCAGGAGCTTTGGGGGGCAACCAATCCTGTGTAGGAGGGTGAAGAGGCCGGTTCGGCTGACAAGGTCGAACGCCTTGGTGAGGTCGATGAAGGCAAGAAACAAGGGGCGTCTTTGTTCACGGCACTTCTCCTGTAACTGCCTGAAGGAGAACACCATGTCAATTGTCGACCTTGCAGCTCTGAACCCGCATTGCGACTCTGGGTATACACACGATCGGCAAGCAGTTGGAGTCTGTTGAGGACGACTCGGGCAAAGGCCTTTCCCACAATGCTGAGGAGGGAGATCCCGCGGTAGTTGTTGCAGTCACTGCGGTCGCCCTTGTTTTTGTAGAGCGTGACGATCTTGGCATCACGCATGTCCTGCAGTATTGTGCCTTCCTCCCAGCATTGGAGCAGGAGGTCGTACAAGTGGCCGAGGAGGGAACTCTCTCTGCCAGCCTTGAGGATCTCCGGTGGGATTCCATCACTTCCTGGAGCTTTTCAAGCTAGCGAGTCAATGGCCTTGCTGAGCTCTTCGATGGTGGGTGGTATATCGAGCTGGGCAAGGGAGAGGTGTTCTCAATGGCTGTGTAGGTGACTATGATCTCTTTGGAGTACAGCTCCTGGTAGTGTCCTACGCATCTCTCCATCTGCTTGCTGCAATCTGTGATGATGTCGCCTGAGGTGGATTTAAGGGGAGCGATCTTGATGACACTAGGACCAAACGCATTCTTCATGCCCTCGTACATGGCACAGATGTTACCACAGTCTGCGGAGGTTTGAATATCATGACACAGGTTCAGCCAGTAGTCATTGGCCCACTTGCGCGCAGTCCATTTGGTTATGTTGCGTGCTGCTCTAAAGGTAGCCAATGTTTTCCCGGAGGGCTGTCTTTTGTAATCAAATAGTGCGGCACGCTTGGCAGCGATGGCAGGCTCCATCTCCTCAATCCCCGCCACAAACCAGTCTTCGTTCTTCCTCACTCTCTTCCCAAAAATGTCCGAGGCGGCCTCATACACGGCATCGCGGATGTGGTTCCATCGCACTGTGGCGCTGTCTGTTGGGCAATCTTCAAGGGTGTCGTCAATGGCTTTGACGAAACGTTCGCACAGTTCGGGAATTGACGTTCTGGCGGTGTTGATTCGTGGGCGGCCCTTTTGCTTGGAGCGATGGATTCTTTTGGTCGGAGACGCACCTTGCTGCTGACCAAGGAGTGGTCAGTATCGCAGATGGCACTGTGGTAAGTGCGGGTGACAAGCACGTGGTTGAGGAGGGGTCTCCTGGTGATGACGAAGTCTAACTGGTGCCAGTGTTTGGACCTAGGGTGCCTCCAGGACACTCTGTGGTGTAATTTGGTGGGGAAGAATGTGTTGGTGATGCAGAAATCGTGGTAGGAGCAAAGCTCAAGTAGCCGCTGTCCGTTCTCATTGAGCTTGCCAATGCCAAAGTGTCCGATGCAACGCGGCCAGGAGCTGTGGTCTGAGCCAACTCGGGCATTAAAGTCTCCGAGCAGGAACAGGTCTTCTTTCGGAGGGATCTCTCTGATTTTGGCCTTGAGCTCTTCGTAGAACGCATCTTTAGCCTCAGCTGCAGAGCAGAGTGTGGGGGCGTAGATGCTAAAGATGTTTGTGGGACCAGAAGAGGTCATGAGGCGGAGAGAGAGGATACGCGCAGTCCCCTGAGATGGAGGCTCAACTGACGACAGGAGGGAGTTGCGTACTGCGAGGCCAACCCCAAAGAGTCGGCGCTCATCTGGCTCCAGTCCTTGCCAGAAGAACATGTAGTCCTTCTCCTTGAGACTACCACTGAAGGGGAGGCGTCTCTCCTGAAGGGCGGCGATGTTGATGTTGAACTTCGACAGCTCGCGGTCGATGATGGCGGTTTTCCTGGCGTCGTCAACTTGCTGGAGGTCGTCAGAGAGGCCAGGACACATTGTTCTGACATTCCAGGTGGCCAGCCGTATGGCTGGTGGTTTCATACTTCGTTGTTTGCCTGGTGCTGAGTTTACCATCTGCTCTTCGGTGTTTAACCTAAGCTCCAAGCACCCATTGAAGCAGGCAGACTGTGGCAGGTCAACACCTAATTGGCTGGGGGCTGCCCAGCTTGAGGCGGGCGGTAGTTGACCAGTGAGACGCGATGGTCCCTCCCACAGTCGGAGACAACCTGTAGCGCCCGAGCTTACACCAATGCGCTCTGGGCTTATCACTCGTAACTGTTGTCTCCCGTGTTGGTTCTGTCGCTTGGACAGCGACACTGAAGTGACCTCTCCAGGGCGCAGGCCTGGGCAAAAGATATGGAGATCCTGGGGTGCCCAGTCATCAAGATCCCCCTCTCGGCCTTGCTGGAAGGATCCGACGGAAAGGACGAGCCGATACGGTCGGTGTCAGCGTGGCTGCAGGAGTTGCCGGAAGGTGTCATATCGTTCACCAACCGCCTTAGGGGCTCCACTTCGGATTTTCTATCTGGGTAATCCCATAGCCTTGTTCTCTCCCGAGATAACCACAAGGTAGTGGTGCTAATTTACCCATAGCTGGGGCAGTGGTTGACATGGCGCCAGGGCGTATCCACACGCCGGTGGGCCTGCGCACCATGTCTCTGGGGCCCACTACTGCTCCGAGATCCACTGCAGATTCAGCCTGGGGTCGCAAGATGCCCAGTTACCGTGTGTTACCATGAGGAGGCACTGCAGCAGTCTTAGTGGTGGAGAGGCTATGTACTGGCAGGGGAGACTTACGCACTCGGCTCCCTTTTCACCCCAAGACAGAACTAGCCAGCGGCAGCAGCTGAAGGTAGAGAGCGGGGTGTGCAATACTAACTACAACTACACTACTGCACTAGACGCATCACACAGACTCTGTGGTGAACATAAAGGCCAAGATAAAGGCCAGTTGTTAAAAGTGAGAGACCACACATACTTACTTGACTTTGTATCTTCTTGAGGCAGTCAGGTTCCTCATGCAGTGAGGCAAATTTTATACAAAACAGTTTCAGTGACCATGGTGACACAAAAATGTGTGTTCACAATTTTGACAGAGAAACCTCCACACTGGAAAGTGTGTGCCTAAAGTGCGGTTGTCAGGAATAGTATGGAACTACTAAAAAAAACACTTAAAAAGTGCACTTTAAAAGCTTTTAACAAACTGATACTCGCACAACAAAGGTTATAAAGCAAATTTCATGTCACCTTTGTGGCATCATTGCCGGGGAAAAAAATGATTTGACATGTACTTCATGTGCTCTCAATCAACATCGATGTACAAGAAGTACATAAACCCATCTTATGAACCCTTTAAACTACTTCTGCCATGTGCAGCTACCACTTTCAAACTTTCTGCCATGTTGCCAATCACCAAGGCTTCTAAATAATCCTTCACAGTCAACCCAATGCCAACATCACCTGCGGTGAGTTGTCATGATAATATTCATCCAGTTTTCAATTATCATTGGATTCTAAGACAAGATTCTAAGACATTGGATTCTGGAGAGAGGCCCTCATTATTCTACTGCTGAAGAAAGATTGAAGCTTCAAGAAGTATCGCCCAATTAGCAATATTCAGTTTGTGTCAAGGCTGGTTGACATGGCTGTATTCAAGCAGGCGCACAATCACATGACTACCCATTCACTTCATCCCATGTTTTAGTCATCAAAGGGGAAATGCCATAACAATGAAACAGTTCAAAATCATTTCAAAAATGTTCACTGAACATATTTCACGGTGTCAATGTCATTCCTAATTAGCATGTTCCCGTCTTTGAACGGTTCCAGTTTATTATGATATGGCAGGAACCAGTCAAGGAGCACATTTTTAAAAGCTGCAAAACTCTTGCAGTCAATGTGGAGTCACTGCCAGGAACAAATAGTTTGACATGTACTCCATGTGCTCTCAATCACCATCGATGTGAAAGAATTACATGACAGTCAAAATGTTGTTGAGATGCTTTATATGGACGTGTTTTTCAAGTACATGTATGAAACTTGTCTCTCAAATTCTGCACTTGGAGCACTTGCAAAATATGATTTATCATTCGCAATGTTCTAAGCAGAGGTAATATGACATGGCTGGGATTATTCTGGCATGGAACATTCTACAAAGGTCTGTAAAGCAGGTTTCTTACGTACGAAGACGATTAATAGGTATAATCCCGCAGCAAATTGTGTTGACATTCTAAATTGCTGCCGAACACGAAACAATTCAATGTTCGGATAAAATTTGCCCAACCGAAACCTAACCTGAACCCGAAAATGAGCACGAGAAATTTCAATTTTCATCTCAATCAACAGCAAATCCAAGTACCTGGACCTTAATCCTCAATCTACTAGGTATCTCTAATGGCGTATCTATAGGCCTAATCTGATTTTTTTGGGGGGGGGGGTCATTACCATGAAATTGTAAATGGCAAATCACAGTAGAGCAGGTATGACAGACTTAAGTTTTAATCTACAAGATTATCCCAATTGACTTTTTCCATGCAGAACCTCATTATCTTTAGCTTAATCCATTGTAAAACTTGTGATCGCTGATGCAAACTGTAGTGTTTACGTGACAAGCAACAAGTCTTGTAAGGTCAAAGGTGAAAACGAACACGCCAAGTGAAAACGAACACGATTTGCAGAGATAAAAGCTATACCGGTATGTCTGCAGTCTGTTTTTTGGTTTAATCCAGAAACTGAAGAACATAACACAAACACACATGCTGACACTTAACACCAAAATCGAAACCCAAACAAACAACCAACCAACCCAAACTTAAAATAACTGAAATAAAAACAAACTAGAGTTTCGCGTTTGTTGAGTTACAAACGCAGAGTGGTCGGGCGGACAGCCTTCTCATTATACACTGCCCAGTTAAGTTAGGAATATATGTAGAAAAAAGGATCACGAAATTAAATCCCTTCAAGTACAATCAATGTTTCAAAAAGGTATCTTTAATGGTGTGATAAACTTCAGTTAACATTCTATGTGCACAAAAAGTTATTTCTGGTTTGATGACGTCATCAGTCAAAAATGGTTAGTGAATACTGTTAAAGTTCGGAGAGGATAATTTGTCATTTTAAAAATAAATAACGTATGAAAATATGGGAAATATAATTGTTTGTATTAATATCACCTAACTTCCGGTTTGACGACGTATTTATAACACCTAACTTCCGGTTTGATGACGTCACAGCATTAGAGATCCAAAGGTGAACATTGTAATGGATATCATTATTTGGACTTCGAAGATATGACAGGGATCAAATGATAGAATTAAATTAAAACTTTGATCTTTTTCGAATTCTCCTTAAAGTAACTTCCGGTCTGATGACGTCATGAATTTGAAACCTTGCCACCTTATCTGTGGTTAATCAGAGAATGTCAAGGGGCGATTTGGTAAAATTTGGACAAATGGTTTTACAATTACAGAATAGAAACTCTATTTTATGTGCAGATAGGGGGCGCCCTTTCGGATGATGACGTCATCACACTGTTTTTTGCGTCTTGCATTCCTCACTAAACACTTTCATAATATATATGTCTGTAGTGAAATGCTTCCGCTTTTGAGTTATATTCAGTTTTTATTGCACTTCCGGTAACACCGGAAGTAAAGGTCAAGCGGTTTTGCGTCCGGGAACACGAAATGTTTCTCACGGCATAGTCTACAACCTCACGAAAAAACGAACACGATACTCTATTTAGTTCAAAAGATATAAAGCAAACTATTTTGTCAAAGTTTGCCCTTAAATCGCTTGTAATTTGATACCGGATGACGTCATGATGACGTAACAAAATGTACAACATCTTCGTAACATGGTACAAGTTCACACAAGGTTCTGTGATCATACCGTGAACTCTTCGGAAGAAATGCTGCTTTGTTTTGATATCAGGCTAACGTCTTCATTTTGAATTCACCTAACTTTGACCTTCCGTTAGACCCGGAAGTAAAGGTCAAGCGAGTTCACGTACACTACAAAAACTGTTTAACGATTAATGGTCTATCTGATTACAGAATACAATCATCATTGATTGTTTAGTTAAAGAGTTATAGGTTAAAGTAATTGGTCACTTTTTCAGATAAAATCACTTGTAATTTGACACCCGATAACGTAATCATGACGTCAGAGTAATATGCACCACTTCGGATGAGGGTCGATATATATTGATAGTTACAAGTTCATACCATATACCGTTTAAGAGAAAACCCGCGGAGAAGTATTGTCCGGGAAAAAAAAAAAAAAAAAGAAAGAAAGAAAGAAAGATTAATCGTAACAGATCCAAAGAGTGGTCGGGTTGTGCCCGACCACTCAACAAACCTTCAACATCTTCCCATTCTTCAGATTCAGCATCACTCCCGGATGAATTTGCATCAAAAGTAGACGAACAACCAGGATTTTCAATACAAACGTTCCGTCTTTTCAATGGAGGATGTTCTAAAGTACCGGTATCACTATTAAAATGGCAAGAGTTGTCAGAGTCTTCTTCTATAGTAGGAACTTCAACTTGTATCTCCTTTCTTTTCCTCCGATTGTTTTCCTTCTCCATTTTCCTTTTCTTTTGCTGACACTCTCGGACCTGCAAAACATTTCAAAAAAGAAAATGCAATCATTATATGGGGCATAATTTCACATATACGTTTTCTGTATTTGCTTGTTTGTTTGTTTTCTGTGGAGAACTCAAAGCCAATTTGTCGGGATCATTTCACTAAGCCTAACTGACAATACAAAACCTACATGTATCATCACCGTTTTCACGAAGAGCCACATATGTCAAAAATTACAATTTTTTCGATTTTCATTTTTTTCAATATTTCACATTAAAACAATGTACTTATTGTAAGCAAAACATCATTAATTTCTAAGTTACATAAATGTTGCAAGGGGAAGAAATCTCGATAAATGCATTTTGCGTTTTCACGAAGAGCCACATATCTTTGTTACATTTTCAGCTGCGCACGCATACTCACGCCTGCCTATGGAAATACACGTTGAACAGAAAGGGCCAATATGTCGGAAACCTGAATTTGCATTTTCACGAAGAGCCACATATCTTTACTAATTAATTTTCACTAATTAACTGCAGTATTAAGTCTTATTACCAGGTTTATGTAAAACTTCATCTCTCATAGAATCGTGTGATGGTTTTCTTGCTGCACATAGTTGTTGCAAATAGTATTTCTTGAAGTTTTAAAATATGAGAAACTTCTTTTCCAATTATCTCGAAAACACTTTTCTTCAAAATCAACATAGTTTGTGGCTGTTCGTGAAAACGGTGACGGTATGTGTCTGGCAGGAACTAAAAACCTGCGGGTGCTTCAAATGCGAAGGAAATAGATATTGTGGTGGTTTTACTCTATCTGCGCCCCGACACCCACACGGTTGAGTGCAGCGCGTGTGAGCAGAGTGCAGAGGCTGTCTGTTTGGAGAAAATATATCCCCGTCTGCAGGCAAGATAACTCAATGAGTCAGTATACAATGCAATGACAAGAAAGTGACACAAACTACTAGTTTCAACACTTTTATTGATGAAGTCCCCAATACACCGAACAGGAAATGGAACCCGCTACTGCCCAAATTGGAGTCTAAAAAGAAAGCCATGCAGTGCACCCAAGCAACTCGATACAATCCAATCCAATAATTAATCCAAAATGACGTACACGCATGCTCACAGACCCAACCAATACACATGCCCACTCGTCACACAGAAGTGGCTGTGCAGTCCAGACCTATACACATAGTACAGCGTATGCGCGCCTCATATATGCTCAACAGCGAGTAGATTGTGTGTGTGCTCCACGCCCTGCACCAGATTTCATGAAACTCATCGTAACTTACGATGCATCATAGCGCGCAGCTGCAACGCATCCTGCGATCAATTTCACAAAACACGTCGTAAGTGCGACGCGTCGTAGGTGTATTTATAGCATAACTCCCTGACTGTTTATGTATTTAGTCAGCTTACAGTAAATAGTCGTCCGATATTCAACAAAGAGTCGTCGGATCTCCGCTCAAAATTTGTTAAAACGTAAAACAAAATGGCGGCCGAGTGATGCCATTTCAAAGGAAACAAGCTCTCAGTTGATTGTATAGCTACATTGAAATTTCAACTGTAATATTCCAGGCTAATTCATAATTAATCAATGGAGTATTTACAACTTTACACACATTGCCTCGGTATTATAATCTCGTTTATGTAATGTTAATGGCATAAAGTGGCTAAGAAAAGGACTCTTCTTATTTTGTTTTAAGCCGTTGTCAAGGAACTTACAACGCATTCAACTCATCGCATGTTTCGTGAAAATGATTGTACAATGCGTTGCGAGGTGTTATACAGCATAACTAGAAGTGGCGACACGTCGCATCATTTAGTGAAATTGGTTGCTGGCTAGCAACAGACTGACTGTGACTCTTCGCGAAAATACGCCCTCAATGATTGCACACTATACAAGTGATCACGTGATGCGCTTATCAACGCTCACAGCAAAGTCATTTGAAAGCTTAAACACAGTAAACTGACAAATTACCTTATTACAAATTATAATACAAAGGTGCCTCTTGTTAATTTTTAATACTGGAGGTTTCTCAAAGTTTATAGTTTTCTTATAAGAGCACTTTAAGGGAATACTTTATGAAATATTCAGAACAATTTAAGGAAAATATCAGAACAATTTCAGTAACAATTTAAGACCATTTTTAGAACAATTTCAGAACATTTTAATAGCACTTTAATGACACATTTTAACTATGTGAAGTCTGAAACAGGAGCATTGATCAAACAGAACCAGATGGGACCTAAAAGGCGACTGATCTTGGGTTGGAGTTGGGGACGACGTCAACATGGTATGGAGCCATGGTTTTAACGAGAAAATTTAATGCAGATAGTTGCAAAAATGTGACGTTGGTGATCGGAAGGAGAGTGGGGGAGTGAGTCTGAGTGAGCGAACGGCAACTTCACCATGCGACCTAAACGCCTGTTCAAATTCTGCATTGGGCACATGCGCAGTAAGGTGAAACTCATTCGTGTGATTACTGGTACTCCCTGTGATAGTTTGTAATGGGAATTTGTGGAATTTTGGGGGTCAGTGGGAAACCAGATTTAGTACGCATATTAATTAGGCAGATTTTCCCAATATTCGCTGTATTCAGTATCTTTTATTTGCATAATTGAAGGCACACAGATTATTACAACTAGAAAGAAGAAGAACAATATTAGTGCACAGTTTGAGAGCCATAGCAGTCATAGTAAGTGAGATATTGCACTTATGCATATTAATTAGGTGGGTTTTCCCGTATCCACTGCACTTTAATAAGGAAAGCTGAAAAAAATTGGAGATATGGTGTTTGGCATAAAGAACTATTGTACAGAATTTCAAGGCTGGAACACTTATTTTAACTAAGTTATGGCATTTATGCATACAGTCGTTTTCCTAGTTCCGGATAGCAAACATCATTCAGGCTGCTTTCGGCTCAACTTCTCCAGGAATTCAAGTGACATTGGTTTCAAAGTTTACCTTGAGTGATGGAGATACTACAATATAATTTTCAAAATTTAAGCTCTTTTTATTGTGACTTTACAACGACCGATGTCGCTTTTCCTAGTTCCAGATCGGTTCAATCAGTTCCGGATCGATCAAAAAAAATCATGCGAGAAAATCCATTTTTCAGCCAGAACCACCCCAAATCAAACACATTTTCTGATAACGTATTATTTAATTTTCCAAAAATAGTTCGTTCAAGAGAATTCCAACAAATTTTCAAAAGAGAATTAAGTAAATAATTTTGAAACTTTTGTCTGCAGCGCAATGGCACAAACTCACGCACGGACCGAGAACCTTGCACACGGCACAGAATTACGTCACACAAAATCGATTAACGCGCGTGTAGTTGGGTTGTGCACGCGCGATCAGGAACTAGGCAAAAGCATACGGTCATTCGTTGCCGAATTTTCAAATATTAGAGACGCTACAACTTATTTTGACTGAACAAACATTCGATGGAAGATTACATGATTGTAGTGAATGAAAAAAATATTTGAAACCACACGATACGAGAGATATACCAAGGAGAAAATTTATCGCTGATTCGCAGTTCCCATGATTTTTTTAAACCGTCCAATCATGTCGGAGTGCAAGATGGAATGCGAATTCTGGCCAAAATTCCTTTTCTAAAAATTTTATTGAAAAGATCTTTCGGTATCAAGAAGCTTAGGCCTACATTTTCCTTTTCAAAATTATGCACTCTGTCAGAATTTTTTTTATTGGAGACTAATCAAAAAGAGGTAGGTTTTTATTTGAAGCGATCCAAAACTAGGAAAAATCCGGAACTAGGAAAACGACTGTATTTATTAGTTGGACTTTGTTTTTTTTTCCAATGTTCACACTCGGTCCATTTGCCAAAATTGGGGAAAATGGCAATTTTGAGTGATCACCATTCCAATATGAACTTGAGAAAATGCCCTCTTTTTTCTGGACTTGAAGAAACTCACTTGTATATCGTCAGACCTCCTGAAGCTACGCGCTCATTCTGCGCACTCGCCTATAAGTTATATTTGGCAAGGCGTGCATCCTAACAAATGACATACTTTCACTGGGATTGTTTCCTTTGATGCACAAACTTTAACCAGCAGCAGAAAAAAATTTGGAAATTGAAGGCTTTACCTGGAATTCAGGCACAAAAATGAAAAACATCGGCATTTTACAGCTAATTACTATGTACAAATGCAGGCAGATGCTTCCGGACCTGTAGAAGTCGAAATTGACCGAAAGGTGACCTTTCTTGGTCTCCCAGTATTATAGTTAAGATGTCATAGATAAGAATTTGCAGTTTCTACAAGGGTGTTAAACTTACGGTGCAACTAAAAAACGAATATTTTCAGTCCAGTCTCGCAGAGGGCGCTGTTTGCGAAACTGGAAAACGTTTGCAGAACTGGGCAAAGCACTGACCTCTACAAAATGTCCTGGCAAATTTCTCTTCAAACGATCGCAGAAAACTATTCATGTCATGAAGTAGGTGAGTAATTTGCGCATATATTATAGATAGGTAGCTTCCTGTGAAAGTGCGTTTTTTTCGCCACAAGACGCTTCAGACGATTTGCGATTGCGGAACCGGTCAAACGACTGTACTGTACGGCCAGACGCAGTCGGGCTAAGCTGAATCCAAATAGCCTATAAACTGTTCAGTCAAATGTGACATGCCTTAGGCCTAGATTTAGCCCGACTGCGTCTGGCCGTACAGTACTATCGCAAGCTCTGTAGTACGGCCAGACGCCCGATGCTTCCACAGAGACTGAATTTTGTTGGCCGCCGATGTAGCGATTTTGCTACATCTTTCGTTTTTTGGACGTGCGTGCGGCGGGGCTGTACTTCCAAAAACACGAGGTCATACGTCACAGACTGTTTATGAATATTCATGAGTTTGCGCGGGCGCGCCTGCATATTGCATACATTACAGCGCGGCCGCCATTTTGAAATCGCATGGGGGATCGCATGGGGGACGATATTTGTGGAATCTGATGACTGAAATTCGTCTTGTGGCCAGATGGATGAAAATATTGCGACCAAACAACGTTTTTTCAAAAAGATATGAGTTGCTCTACGACTACGAACCTTAACTTTGGAAGTTTGTGTCCTGGATGAAAAGATAATCGCGACCGAAAGATGTAGCAAAATCGCTACATCGGCGGCCAACAAAATTCAGTCTCTGTGGAAGCATCGGGCGTCTGGCCGTACTACAGAGCTTGCGATAGTACTGTACGGCCAGACGCAGTCGGGCTAGCCTTGACCAAGGCTATCAGCTTGTTCCCATATGAGCTTGTTACCGCACACCGCGCGCGCAGCAACACAATGTTGTACTATATACCGTTAGCCCCAACGACCCTTGCGTGTGCTTTGTGTGCATGTACGTACGCCCCACACTCACTTCCGCAAACAGCCGTACAGTAAATCGAGGCAGAAGATAGCCTTGACGCAACCGTGTATGCTGAATATGATAATTAGTACGCGCTATGGTAAATAGTCTTCTCTCATTGGATAACGGATGACAAAAAAATGAATATTTATTAAATTGCATATGCGACCAAAGGTTTATAAACCATACGGCCTGTGGTAACAATAATTATTGTAAAACACCCCCTTAAAATCTTAAATAATAGTAGAATAATATTTATAAAGTTACACATAGTTTGGGTCGAAAATGAAATGAAAAGGATGAAAAATTAGACCTTCAAAACTGCACGCCGGCAAAACGATGTCACCATGCACAGAGGCCACGTTGGGGCCGTCCACTGTAGGCACCGGCCCGGCTGGCGCCATGCAGTGAGACACGCTGCGCTTTCACGTTCAGCGGCCAAAAAAGCGCTCACACTGTTTGAGTATATCTACCGCTGACTTTTTTTGGGGTGGGGGGGTATTTCTTCTAAGCTGTCAAGGGGATATGGGAAAAAATATCTCTCCTTCAGCAAACTTATTCTGTAAGACTGATTTTAACTTGTATGAACAACTTATAAGTTATATGTCGTATGTACGACTAATATATCGACAGGGTACGACATATTTCGACAGGGTACGACTAATATCATCGACAGGGTACGACATATATGTCGACAGGGTATGACATATGAAACAAATGACATAATGTCGACAGGTGCCGGTACGACATATATGTCGTGCATAAGTCGAGTCGACAGGGTACGATATATGTCGCATACGACAAAGTCGTATATATAAGTACGACTTAATATCTCGTGTGTACAAAATATGAATTGTAACTCGTATGTTCGACTTGTTTGTCGATTATGTCGTACATACAACATATCTTGTGAGAACAACTTGTATCTCGTGCGATTTACATCTACGACTTACATGTCGTATGTATGTCGTAGGTACGATATACGATGCATACGTACGCGTTAAAATACATGTGTCATACGTATGAGATGTATGTTGCACAAGGTACGAATTTAGGGAGAGTTTTTTTTCACCATGTACCTGACAGTTTCGTATATCCCAAAGTCAATAGCTCGTTTCTTGCAGTTAATTCATACGGGTGCTTATAGATGCGAGTTAACCTGCATTCGATAAAATGGGTACGATTTGACCTGGGTCCGAGTTGACCTGTTCCCTACATTCGCTGTCAGAATAGCACGGGCAGGTAGCGGCGTGATAATGTACGATGTTGCACCGACAAAACGTCGGCGGACTGTCTTGAACTGTCCAATTCGCAATACAATGGAAATAATATCATTTTGAACAATTGTTCACTCATATAGCGGCATATTTCATTTGTTTGTAAAAAACTGGAGAAATGGTTTAAAATGGGATTGAAATACCTGGACATACCGGTTTGAGTGAACATACATGTACGTGGTGTATAGAGTAATTTGAGGGTCATGAATATGTATGTCGCGGGTCAAAGTTTACGGGCTTTGATTGGATATCATGTAATATATGCGCATCAGAAATTTTCGGCCGATTTCGGTCGAAACTATAGAGAAACACATAAGAATTCGCCACGGTTGCGTCAAGGCTATCTGCCGCCTCGACTTACTGTACGGCTGTTTGCGGAAGTGTGTGTGGGGCGTACGTACATGCACACAAAGCACACAAAGCACACGCAAGGGTCGTTGAGGCTAACGGTATAATACAACTATAGTGATTGTGTCGCGGCGCGCGCGGTGTGCAGTAGCGGGAACAAGCTCGTATGGGAACAAGCTGATAGCCTTGGTCAAGGCTACAGTCGGGCTAGCCTAGATTTAGAAAGTAACTTTTTGGCAGTGAAAATTGATTGGTAAATTTTAAAGTCAAGTGACGTACGTATATGGTAGACTTCCCTCAGTTAGTAGGTATTCTGTCGTTGCTTTTGTGAATTCTTGCTCTACGTGGGCCGACTGTCAAATTTGATCGAACTCATCCAAGACGGCACGCACCCTGCTTGTACATGTAGAAGTACTAGTATTTGTAGTATCTGAGGCAACAAGCTTAGAAGGGCTAGGCTTAATGCCCGGCCTCGTGGTACAGTGCGCCCTCCATAGTCCCGAAAACCTGATCCCAGCGCCCTCCCACAGCGGCGCAGCTAGCGCGGGTCGCGTTGACTGAATACATGGCACTGTCAAGCGCGCGCAAGTTTAAACTTGCGCGTGCATTAATTTCCTTGCTACAAATTGCGCACGGAAGTTTGAACTTGCGCACTACATAGATTTTCTACGGAAGCTTGAATTGCCTTCCGCGATACCGCGTACCGTGATAATTTATCACCGAAATCCGGAATTCAAAGATAATCCCTTCCTCGATACCGCGTTACCGTGATAATTTACCACAGAAATCCGGGATTCAAAGATAATCCCTTCCTCGATACCGCGCCGGGTTACCGTGATGATTTATCGCCGAAATCCGGAATTCAAAGATAATCCCTTCCTCGATACCGCGTTACTGTGAAAATTTAGAAATCCGGAATTCGCAGATTTTGTTGTCCAAGGTCACATTTTTGGATAGGGCTGCTTAAAATCTAGTCAATTTTGGATAATACACGTCAGGTTGGCGTAGCGGTACTTTCCTCGCCTTCCACCGCTGTGACCCGGGTTCGAATCCCGCCTGGGCCAATATGTGGATTGGGTTTTCAGTCCCTACCTGATTCCGTGGGTTTTCCCCAGAATATTCTCCTGGGCTTTTCCTCCCACCTCTAAAATTGTAATTTCTTCTCATTGTCTTCTCTCCACAGGTTTCTTCAGGCTTGCGAGCTACAGTACCTAGGGCGCTTTTGAGGAATCCTTGGTTTCATTACCAAAAATGATTAATAATAATAATAATAATAATAATATTGAAGACTTTTTGAAACTCAAAATATGAAACGGCCTAAATTTGATGTGATGAACTTTATAATAGGATCGAGTATTCATATACTTTGGAATCATTGTGCCAGTGCTCATCTCATTTTCGAGGAAAAAAGGAATTTACTACCCTGGCGATGGTAATTAGCACCTACGGAAGCTTAAAGTGACCATCCGCGTTTCCAAGTTTCCGAGATAGTTTATCTCGGAAAGACGGAATACTGAGATAAAAACATGTCTTTTCGTGATATCGCATCTCGGAAAAACGTCTTTCCAAGATAAGATATGAGAGAAAGAACGTCTTTCCGAGATGAAAGACGTCTTTCCGCTATACAATATCAGGGGAAAACGTCTTTCCGAGATAAGTTATGAGAGAAAGACGTCTTTCCGAGATAAAAGACGTCTTCCCGAGATACAATATCAGGGAAAGACGCCTTTCCGGGATACAATATCAGGGGAAAACGTCTTTCCGAGATAAGGTATGAGAGACAGACGTCTTTCCGAGATGAAAGACGTCTTCCCGAGATACAATATCAAGGAAAGACGTCTTTCCGAGATGATATGAGATAAAGACGTCTTTCCGAGATGTTATATCAGGGAAAGACGTCTTTCCAAGATACGATATCAAGGAAAGGCGTCTTTCCGAGATGATATGAGAGAAAGACGTCTTTCCGAGATGTTATATCAGGGAAAGGCGTCTTTCCGAGATACAATATCAAGGAAAGACGTCTTTCCGAGATGATATAAGAGAAAGACGTCTTTCCGAGATGTTATATCAGGGAAAGATGTCTTTCCGAAATGCAATATCAGTGAAAGCCGTCTTTCCGAGATACCATATCAGGGAAAGACGTCTTTCCGAGATAATGAGAGAAAGACGTCTTTACGTCTATAGAGTGAAGATGCACTTGTAACGCAGTATCAAGGAATAGATATCTTTGAATTCCGGATTTCTATGATAAATTATCACAGTAACGCGGTATCGAGGAAGGGGTTATCTTTGAATTCCAGATTTCTGTGATAAATTATCACGGTAACGCAGTATCGAGGAAGACATTTTATCGTTGAATTCCGGATTTCTGTGATTAATTAACACGGTAACGCGGTATCGAGGAATATATCTTTGAATTCCAGATTTCTATGATAAATTATCACGGTAACGCGGTATCGAGGAAGGAATTATCTTTGAATTCTGGATTTCTGTGATAAATTATCACGGTAACGCGGTATCGCGGAAGGCAAAAGTCAAGCTTCCGTAATTTTACCCATGCATGCAAAGCCGCTAAAAAAAAAATCCGGGTAAACTCATATGAAACATCATTTTTAAAGCAGATTTTCTCCAATTAATTGCACTTCTGTGCTTCGTGAGATAATGCCTAAATGCCTTTTTTGAAACATTTTATTAACAGTATTATGCTAATGAAGTTGACTGTTGTGAGGTTCAGAGAAATAAGGGGTGGTAACGCGAACAATATTTATGCACTTTGCATCATATTGTTTACGGCTCATTAGGATTTTTGTTTAATAAACAACATATTTATTTATTAAGTCGAATTAATAAATTAAATTAATTTATAAAATTAATTAATTAAATCATTAATAAATTTATTTACTTTTTCAAATAATTTCCATTTTATATCATAGCGTATTTAAGTGAAAGCATGAAAATATTAATATGTATTATTGAGCCTGCAAATAAAATAATTGTTAAAGTAATAAATTCAATTAATTAATTAAGTAATGCGTTCAGTAATTTTTTTCAATGATTATGCATTTTTGAAGTGTACACAGTGCTCGAAATGTTATGCAAGTATTTTTGAAAACAATATGAATTATTGAACCGCCCAATTAATTAATTGCTAAATTAATTAAAATAGTATTTTTTAAGAACAAGTACTTTTTTAATTGTACAGTACATGTAATGTAATTTAAAGCATTTTAAAAAATAATGGAAATGATTACTATAACGTCAAAACTTGAACAATTGAAGGGATCATAATCATTCTTTTTACGTTAACAATGACTATACACCTAGGAAATTTTGATTTATTTACATTTAAAGGGAATATACATCATTTGCTTTTGCTGTAATTTTCAGAAATGGATGGAATTGGGGTGTTGGAAATATATAGCAAAAATAGTTACACTGACTTTTTTGAGGTTTTGGGTTCAAAAATGCTATAAAAACCAAGAAAAACAATCATTTTCCTGTAGTCTGGTTCCCTGACTCCATTTAAGAAGAAACAGAGCAGTTTACATACATTGGGGAATTGTAAGGTCAGGGAACCAGTCTAGCTGGCTTGTACCCGTTCATAGGTGTGTAATCGATTGCAAACAAGTGCGTTGGTCAATTGGGGCCAGTATTTGAAAAAAGCCAGTTTTTTCCAACGCTGATCGGCCGATCAGCGTTGGAAATTGATACAAAAATACCACTTTTCTTGAAAATGACAGTATACCAGGTGCCATGATTTTACAGGATGCTTTACACTGTCATTCACCACAGTCCAGCAAGGTATTACAAAATGATTTGGTAGTTTTATTTTTTGATGTTTGCAAATGTTGTACTTTCCCTTTAAGAATATAAATAAAAGGCAAAAAAAACTTGAAGTTGGTCTCCATTATTGAACAGCCTCAGTACACTTTCCAAGCAATCGCCGCTAGTAGTGTGCTTTTATTGATTGCTTGCCCGGTCCCCTCCCCTCCCCCGCCCCCTAAAAAAAACTTCTCTGACAAGCGCTGCTAAATCTCAATGTTCCTTTTCATTGACGCCAATTGAATTCCCCTTTTTATTTATTTCTTTGTTCATTAATTTATTCCATTATTTATCAATTTTTTTCTCCATGTACTCGTGTTTTAAACATTTTTTTTTCTTAAATGAAAATCCCGCCCGCAAGGTTCTCAAATTGCAATCACCTTTGCGCAAGTTGTAACGTGCGCACGAAAATTAAAATGGCGCGGTGCAATTTGCGTGCTTCGGGAGTCACTCGCGCAAGTTTAAACTTGCGTGCGCCAGTTTAAACTTGCGCGGGGGACTCAAATTGCGCTCGATAGCCCACCGTAGTACTAGCCCACTGTATTGGCTCTGCAAGGAATCGCAGCCGTACTGCTTTGAAATTGAATAGAAATGTCTGACGAACAGGAACAGGTAAGCTTCATTATCATGATTATCGTCAGTAGGCAGCCTATCCGGAGTAATTGCAGAATACCCGCCACTCGGAAATACACCCCTAAAATCACTGGCTACGAGGTTGGAATCACTGCAAAAGAAACAATTCAAGTCCATTGCCAGCTACGCGGATACTGAGTGGGGGTCCATTATTTGAGAACGAAGCAACACAAAATGAATGGGAGTTGCTGAAAAACTTCTAAGTCCAAACCAACCACCCTGTTGGCGGCTACGAGGCTACGGAGTGGGAGTCCCCTAGTCCGAAAATTTGGGACTCTCAATACTGTGTATGAGAGTCCCAAAACTTAAGGTATCCATATCGTGCAAAAGTTTGTGCTGCATAATAAAACCAGTGTGAATCAAATTTGCAAGCTTCTTACTCACTACAGTTTCTTCAATAATCCCCGAAACTTTTGCCTCGTAAAGTTGCTGTTGTGAGCATTGCATCACCAAAAATTCAGCTTTTAAATCTAATTTTACAGAGAGTTATCGAAATCCAAACGTGAGACATCATGTTGATGTGTACTGCAATGCATTGTGCAAAAAGACTCCTCAGCTATAACATTTTCATCGTGTAGATAAAACAGCGCCCTCTTGTTGATCTGAGTAAATGCAAAATGTTTCATTTTTTAACAGAGGGCGCTATGTTCATTTGGCCATCGATTAAAAAACAAGTAAGCTGCAAGGCTTTTCCTACACCTACCCAGAATACATTGGGAATCACACACCCATTTCCAGAGCATGGAGATTGACGTGGATGGTTTTTGAACTGCCAAAAACTTGCCTTAAAATTGGATTTAAGGTCTCAAATTTCGCATGTGACATGCTTGCAACTATATCATTTTGATGTATGTGTTGTGTGGGCATTAATTAGCCTGATGGTGAGTAAAAAAAGGTCAGTAGTAATTTTGCACGTTTTTATGCACTCACGGTCCCAGTCTGGGAGTCCCCTTGAATATGCTTGAGAACGAAGCAACACAAAACGAATGGGAGTTGCTGAAAAACTTCTAAGTCCAAACCAACCACCCTGTTGGCGGCTACGAGGCTACGGAGTGGGAGCCCATTGAATATGCTTGAGAACGAAGCAACACAAAATGAATGGGAGTTGCTGAAAAACTTCTAAGTCCAAACCAACCACCCTGTTGGCGTCTACGAGGCTACGGAGTGGGAGTCCCCTTGAATATGCTTGAGAACGAAGCAACACAAAATGAATGGGAGTTGCTGAAAAACTTCTAAGTCCAAACCAACCACCCTGTTGGCGGCTACGAGGCTACGGAGTGGGAGTCCCCTTGAATATGCTTGAGAACGAAGCAACACAAAATGAATGGGAGTTGCTGAAAAACTTGTAAGTCCAAACCAACCACCCTGTTGGCGGCTACGAGGCTACGGAGTGGGAGTCCCCTTGAATATGCTTGAGAACGAAGCAACACAAAAGGATTGGGAGTTGCTGAAAAAATTCTAAGTCCAAACCAACTACCCTGTTGGCGGCTACGCGGTCACGAAGTGGGAGTGCAATGGAGCATGACGCATAGTACATACAAGTAGCGCTGAGAATGTTTATTGAGGTCAATCAGCCGTGACCTCGTAGCCGGCTACGAGGTGGATAGATCGAGTGGCGGGGTATTCTGCAATTGTGCCGCCTATCCATAATTTCATGGATCTAAATTAGCTCGAGTAACTCTAGCCCCATACATGTAAATGTGGCTTATTTACTGGACTGCCTCCGTAAACATACATGTAGGCCACACATCCACATGTACAAAAACGTGTCGACTTTGCCAAATTTTGATTTTCACATTTAGGCTTACTTTGTAGGGTTTTTTGCTTTAGAAGCATTCTCACCCTCTATATAGGCTAATTAGAAAGTGCTGCCTTTTTTAGATGTCCATTTTTCGTGAAATTTTCAGATACATTTGCACACGTTTGCGTATCAAAATTTCAACATGAAATTTCACAAAAAATTAGACATCTGAAAAAGGCAGCACTTTCTGATTAGCTTATATAGAGGGTGAGAATGCTTCTAAAGCAAAAAAAACCTACAAAGTAAGCCTAAATGTGAAAATCAAAATTTGGCAAAGTCAACACGTTTTTGTACGTGTGGATGTGTGGCCTATCCTAGCTGGAGTTACCCAGCCCTGAGTTTTATCATTGGGTTGTCATCTAGGTGACAACCCAATGATAAAACTCAGGGCTGGGTAACTCCAGCTAGGCCTATCCTATGTTTACGGAGGCAGTCCAGTAAATAGGCCACATTTATGGGGCTAGAGTAACTCTAGCTTGAGTAATTCCCGACTCCAGCTGACATGTTCCATCATTTGGGTAATCCTTACTTTTAGGACCCCATTCCTATATAAGGTTAACAGACTCACCAAAAGAGCTGACTAAATGACACTCAAAAGTGACATTCTGATATTTCTTGTCATATATCTGAACAGTATGACGGTAATCCTTATCTTTAGGACACCTCTATTTTTTACCAGTTCTGTTCAAAACTGACTTTTGCAGATGACTGTCATGACTGTCCAGTACCAAAGTGACTTTTGCAGGCTAAAGCAGTCTTTTTTCTTCAGATAAATTCATGTTAGTTGTAATTTTGAAAGCACTTTCAAAGAACATGTGACTTTCCTACCCTTTTTTGCAGTTTGCCATCTTGGCTTTTGAGTCAGTTTCGGTTAGTCATCGTCGTCTTTCTCCCTTAATTTCCCTCTAAAATCAAAGCCCCGCAAGCCTTTTTCCACAACATTAAACCTGCTGACATTCAAGAAGGTGTCATACTGGTAATCCTTACTTTTAGGACCCTGTTCCTACATTAGGAAGGGAAAGACTCACCAAAACAGTTGACTAAGTGACACTCAAAATTGACATTCTGATATTTCTTGGCACATCTGAACAATTGGCAATGACATCTTCTTGAATATCAGCAGGATTAATTTTGTGGAAAGAGGGCAGGGCTTTGATTTATGAGGGAAATTCAGGGGTAAAAAACGATGATGACAACCAGAAAACAGACTCAAAAACCAAGATGGCAAACCTGAGAGCTCAATGTGATGAAAGCTCGATGCTGATTGGCTGATAAAAAATAAACATCTTATTTATTTTTTTAGCAGCCAATCAGCATGGGGCTTTCATTATGTAGGGATGGCAAACCTGAAAGCTCAATGCGATGAAAGCTCGATGCTGATTGGCTGATAAAAAATAAACATCTTATTTATTTTTTTAGCAGCCAATCAGCATCGGGCTTTCATTATGTAGGGCTTTCACGAGTGTGAGAACTACAATGCATGTCTGACTGCGAAAAAAAGGTAGGAAAGTCACATTTTCTTTGAAAGTGCTTTCAAAATTACAACTAACATGAGTTTATATGAAGAAAAAAGACTGCTTTAGCCTGCAAAAGTCACATTGGTACTGGACAGTCATCTGCAAAAGTCAGTTTTGAACAGAACTCGTAAAAAATAGAGGTGTCCTAAAAGTAAGGATTACCTAAATGAGGATGTCAAAGGTATTGTCGTTCTCAGATAAGTGGGAGATGGGTTGATATAGCCGGGTTGGGAACAAAGTTGGATCTTTTTTTACTTCAAGCTTTTTTTCTCGGTAGGGGAGAGTGATAGCTTGAGAGGTTGGTTATGAATTGTTCATTTGGTCAATGTTGGTGGGCTAATTCTTTCCGTTGGTTAGCAATTAGTGAATCTGTTGGAATTGTTTTTAAGCCAATAAAATAGATGAGATTTTTTTTTTTACATGTAACAGCTGGGGCGAAGTGGGGATGGGGCGAAGTGGGAATGGGGCGAAGTGGGAATGGGGCGAAGTGGGGATGGGGCGATGTGGGGATGGGGCGAAGTGGGGATGGGGCGAAGTGGTTAGGGGCGAAGTGACATGGGGCGACGTGGAAATGGGCGAAGTGTCCGACATTCGGGATATTACACACACATTGTTCATGTACATGTAACGTTTACACATCAACTGTGTGTTATAATTGTATGCTCCAGATAGCAGATGCATTGTGGGCCGGGTAGAGCATGCTGGGATGTAATTCAATATGGCCGTTGTTGTTATGCTTTAATTCCAATCAGTACCAGAATAAATAACCAATCATATCAATCAGAAGATACATGAAGAAATCACTCAAATCTTGTAGTAATTCGAACCTTTATTTGTGTAACTGCTGTTACAACATGTCAGCTGGAGTTACTCAAGCTAGAGTATTACTCCAGCTGACATGTTCATATTCATGCACATGTGAATGAATATGAGCAGGGGCGGCGGAACCGGGGGGGCTGGGGGGGCATTTGCCCCACCAGATTTTCCCAAGTGCGCCTTTTGCGGCCATAAATGTGCCCCCTCGAACAGTACTAAAGTGCCCCCTCAAGATACACAGTTTGCCCCCAAACTCCGTACTACACCTCATGACATACTCACGTAATATGCGCAGAAAAAACATCGCTGGATTTTGTCGGTTTTTGGCTAAAATGATGAAAAATATGCCCTTTCCGCACTGAGCCAACCTGACACTTGAAACGTGCACGCATATGATCCAGCGATGATTTTCGGTTCACTCGGAGCGCGCCGCGGGGGGTACGGTACTTGCACTTGTACGCATGCGCATACTATCATTTCGCTTGTACCGTACCGTACCCCATTTTGTATACTAGTGTAGATACCTACTGATCATGTTTCAAGACAATCGGACTTAGCCTTAAACGTGATTTTAAAAATTGAGTTTTTGATGACGTCATCATGACATCACACACTTATTGTATTTTTGTGCAAATACATATCCTAACATACATCTACCTATAACAAAAAGAATTTTGAATTTAACCTTTTCTATTGATGCGATTTGGCTTAAAGGTTAAATAAAATCAAAATCCATATAAAACCACTCGATGACGTCATTTATTTATGTATTTCTTATTTTAACTGGGTAGCCCATTCAGTGGAATCCACTGGTCTCCCATGGGTCCCAGTAAGAGAAGACAGTGAGAAGAAATTACAGTTTTAGAGGTGGGAGGAAAAGCCCAGAAGAGTATTCTGAAGAAAACCCACGGAATCAGGCAGGGACTGAAAACCCAATCCACATATTGGCCCAGGCGGGAATCGAACCTGGGTCACAGCGATGGATGGCAAGGAAAGTACCGTTATGCCAACCTGACTCCCCTGTCATCATGACGTCAACTCAATTTATGCGTATAACACATCCCTACATACAAAATTGGACTTACAGTTCTTTAGATATAGGCCTTTAAAATATGTACCTTTAAGATCACAACATCATGATGTTACTATTCAGGACACAACTTTGCTATAAATATAGAATCTATAAATATGCTAAGAAGAGGAAGAAGCAAGGAAACAAAATGAGAAAAGCCAATAAGTACCGGGTATGTCTTCTCCAGAAACTGCAAGATATTGGGTTCACTGAAACCGTTGAACACGAAATTCCCCTCCTTGATGCAAAATGGTAAAGCTCAAATACCTATTACTATTTATAGCTGTGTCCCACATGCCACGAGTTGTACATGTATGTGTAAGTGGGACGCAGAGGCACTACATTTTCCATGTTCCATGAGTGCGAGTGGGATAACAAATTTATCTTCAAGCAAACTTGGCGCACATGCATATTGAACACGCACGATGTACATTTTGTACACAAACTCTTCAGCAGTTAAAGGGACATGTTACTTCCTGCACTGTGCCCAATGTGCCATTTTCGTGCAAAAAAAATGTGCCAAAAATGATCATCTTCATTCATTTGAACTCATAAATAAAATGAATCATGTTCATACTTTGTGATCTGATATTGATAGACATTGTTTGTTGAGTACCTGAATGCTTGACCCCAACCTCCAGGATTACTGGAAGGTCAAAGTTAGGTGAAATCAAAACACCCAAGGATGCCTCCAAATTAAAACAAACCTAACTTCTTCGAAATACAAATGTACGGTAGGTCAAGATAAAACTTGGTATAAACGTACATTGTGTAAAGCCTGCTCCGAAAATGCAAACAATTTTGTGACGTCATCAGGTATCAAATTACAAGCAATTTAAGGTCAATATTTGAAAATTACTTTGAACTACCGGTACAATGTAATAATGTTCTAATTTTTTGTAATGTGGTGGAAATTATAATAATTTAATAATAATGATAACAAAGTCTTATATAGTGCACTTATCTACCAACAATTAAAGGGAAAATACAACATTTGCAAACATCAAAAAATAAAACTACCAAATCATTTTGAAATACCTTGCTGGACTGTTAGTGAATGACAGTGTAAAGCATCCTGTAAAATCATGGCACCTGGTATACTGTCATTTTCAAGAAAAGTGGTATTTTTGTATCAATTTCCAACGCTGATCGGCCGATCAGCATTGGAAAAAACTGGCTTTTTTCAAATACTGGCCCCAATTGACCATCACACTTGTTTGCAATCGATTACAAACCTATGAACGGGTACGAGCCAGCTAGACTGGTTCCCTGACCTTAAAATTCACCAATGTATGTAAAATGCTCTGTTTCTTCTTATATGGAGTCAGGGAACCAGACTATAGGAAAATGATTGTTTTTCTTGGTTTTTATAGCATTTTCGAACCCAAAACCTCAAAAAAGTCAGTGTAACTATATTTGCTATATATTTCCAACCCCCCAATTCCATCCATTTCTGAAAATTACAATCAAAGCAAATGATATATATTCCCTTTAAGTACTCAAGGCACTGGTACTGTAATTATGTCTGTTTTCAGGTAAATGAGGTTTGTGAGAAATACCGGTACATGTATGAGCCCCATTTGTGCAGCACCTTTATAAAGGGTATACAAGGTGCTGCGGCGCATATTGCAGCCACTGCCAGAAACTCTTTATAGTGATAAGGCCACACACACACACAAAATAGTTCTGCTTCTTGTTTCCCTACCTACCCTATTCTGACATCCCCTACCTTAAATTTTTGTTTATGGGCAAAATTAGAAGAAAACACCCAAAACCATTGATTTCTACATTTTACCCTTGAGTACATGCAGATATAAATGGCCAAAAAAAATAAAACAAAATAAATGGCCAAAAAAAAAAAAATTCCCTACCTACCTACCCTATTTTTGAATGCCATGTAATATCGGAAGCAGAATTAATTTGTTGGGGGGCCTATATGTTACTGGGTTCTTGAACGTGCATTACATGTGTTACACACAACATGAACACAGGACCTACGGCTTTACGTCCCATTGGAAGGACCGTGTTCCCTGTCAGGATTCGAACCCATGTACCACGGCACACAAGTCGAGAACCGTAACCATTGGACCACAGCCCCCACATTGCCTCGGACAATACCAGTATTTTGGATTTACATGCACACAGCTGTTTGACTTTTACTTCTGGTCATTACTTCCAGAACCGTAACCATTGGACCACAGCCCCCACATTGCCTCGGACAATACCAGTATTTTGGATTTACATGCACACAGCTGTTTGACTTTTACTTCTGGTCATTACTTCCATTGTTACTAGAAGTGCAACCCTAACCCACCTCACTCCTCCAAAATCCTCCTGGCAGTTTTGGAGGATTCTAGAGGATTGAGGATGAATGGTGATTGAATCAAATGAGGATTCTGGAGGATTGAGGATGAATGGTGATTGAAGCACATGAGGATTTTGGAGGATTGAGGATGAATGGTGAATGAAGCACAAGAGGATTTTGGAGGATTGAGGATGAATGCATTTTGAGGCAGGACTGTCTGATGATTTTGAAGGATTTGGCGTTGGTTATCCTTTGAACATTTAAACACGAGTGCAAAGTTTTGGGATGAGGAGGATTTTGGAGGATTGAGGATGAATGGATTTTGAGGCAGGACTGTCTGACAATTTTGAAAAATTTAGGCGGAGTTGCAAAATTTTGGGGGATTGAGGATGGTTGTAAGCAACAAGGGCCTATGGGGTTCGGGTTATTAAAGGAAGCATTTTTCTATAATCAAACAAATTATAGTGAAGGATGCCAAACCCGCCAAACAAAATGCATGATGACATCATCACCCAAAAGGGCACCCTCTAGCTGCACGCCAAAGACATTTGAACTTTTTTAATTTCAAAACCATTTATCAAAATTGTATAAAAATTGCATACATGGATATTCTTTATAACATGTATTAAAACCTGTGCATGTATGTTGTCATGCATGTACTTGGCAGGGTTTGTTCTGCTGGTACTGCATGAATTGTGAAGAATTTGTTGATTGTTGTTTAGTGATTGTACTTTTTTTCTTGTATTGCATGTTATATATTTAGCAAGGGCCAACCACTACTGTGGAAGAACCTTTGGATCTTGTTCGGCTTAGCCTGGATGAACGCATTTATGTCAAGATGAGGAATGACAGAGAACTAAAAGGCCGCTTGAATGTAAGTATTGACTAACACGACTAAGGATGTGAAGTTAATATACATGTAAACGTTTCAAAGAAAACAATTCTAAATCCTTTTACAAATTTTCCAAAACATTTAAACAAAACCAAATTTGTAAAAGAGGGACCTACATTCACGTGTTCTTCCTTTGAGTTTAATAAACCTACGGGGCACAAGTTGTTCAAACCTATTTTATTTACAAACTCTTAGAAGCACTGCACACTACTTGATTACATTCAAAGTACACATATATGTAGTTCGGTTTCGTTTCGTTGTTTTATCTTGTCAATCACGCTGGTCTGCTGACATAATAGGCAGGCGTCGGCCTTTGTGACTGGCTAAACATTTAAACGTTTAAATGGTTCTCAAAATATTTGCTAAATGTACATGTATGCAAAATTAAATGGAAAGTCACATCCTTGGTATTGACCTTTACTGACCGTGTCAGTGAAAGTTCAAAGTTTGGTGATTTTGAATTGTGAAATGTAGTGCACATTGAAACCTATAATATAAACTACCTTTGAACTATGTGCCTTGTACCCCACTGAACAGTTGAAAAGAGAGAAACATCCTGGGCCCAGTTTTGTAGCACTGCTTTTGTCAAGGGTCAATGAAGATGAAGACATTATCAATGTTAAAATTTTTCAGAAATTGTTGATAGTTTACAAGATTCATTACTGAGGTGGAAATCTGTTTTGATTGAAAATACTTGAGTTGACACACTAGAAGTGACATGACCAGGGCCCAATTTCCTGGCTCTGCTTAATAGCGAAATATCCCTGTTTACTGAAGCAGAAAGTTCTGTGCTTACGGTAACTTTCATTTCAAATGTAGATTGTGAGAAGATGATCTTTCAAGGTTTACACTTTTTCACCCGGTACAGTGAAATTTATTTGAGCCTTGCAAATATTTTTTTTAAAGCAGAATTTGTTTTCCTGGATATCTGCTGATTTTGTGCGCAAGTCATTTTGAAATTGGGCATTCAAAAATAGTGCAAAGACACAGCATATTCATACAATGTACATGTAGGCCTACATGTGTGAAATCAGTGTTTTTTATGCCCCGCGGCCAAGCCGAGCCAAGAAGGGGCAAACTGTTTCCGCCTTGTCCTTCTGTGGGTGGTGCGTGGGTGGGTGTGTGTGTGTGAGTTGGTCTTACAGTCACTATGTGGACATGTGAACAAAAGATGTCCACAAAATGCAGGTTGTGTTGATGTTATGTGGACCAAGCCGTGTCCACATAACGTCTCACCCTCTCTGGAAAACAGGTCTAGAGGCACTTTTGGGGTAGGTTTATTCGTCACAGAATGAAGAGAAACATTCAAGGAAATCAAAAAAAATTGGGGGTTGAAAGAGTTTTTACAGTTTAAAGGGAATATACAACATTTGCAAACATCGAAAAATAAAGCTACCAAGTTTTTGCGAAATACCTTAATAGGATGTTGGTAAATGACAGTCTAAAGCATCCTGTAAAATTATGGCACCTGGTATACTGTCATTTTCAAGAAAAGTGTTATTTTTGTATCAATTTCCAACGCTGATCGGCCGATCAGCGTTGGAAACAACTGGCTTTTTTTTCAAATACTGGCCCCAATTTACCATTGCACTTGTTTGCAATCGATTACAAACCTATGAACGGGTACGAGCCAGCTAGACTGGTTCCCTGACCTTACAATTCCCCAATGTATGTAAACTGCTCTGTTTCTTCTTATATGGAGTCAGGGAACCAGACTACAGGAAAATGATCGTTTTTCTTGGTTTTTATAGCATTTTCGAACCCAAAACCTCCAAAAATTCAGTGTAGCTATATTTGCTTTATATTTCCAAACCCCCAATTCCATCCATTTCTGAAAATTACAGCAAAAGCAAATGATGTATATTCCCTTTAAGTAAAGTTACTTTTTGTACCAAGTTTTCTTAACTACACGAAAATAAAGGAATGTAGCGTAGGTAAAAGAAATGTGTGGATGGGTGTGTGTCCTGAAAAATCTTGTCAGCGCAATAACTTAAGAAATACTTAACATGTGAACTTCAAATTTGGTTTGTGGATTGTTCTTGGTAATCCTAAGAAGGCTATTGCATTTGGGGCCAAAAAGTCAAGGGTCAAGGTCACAGTGGCTAAAACAATAGAAATGTTGTCAGCGCGATAACTTGAGAAATACTTAACATGAACTTCAAATTTGGTTTGTGGATTGCTCTTTGGTAATCCTCAGAAGCCTATTGCATTTGGGGCCAAAAGGTCAAGTGTCAAGGTCACAGTGGCTAAAACAATAGAAATCTTGTCAATGCAATTCAGCGTGTTTGTACAGGATCTATTCGCATTCACTCACTCTTTTATTAACCCTTACTCTCTGAGGGTAGTTTACTGCATGTCAGTTGGTTATGCCAATGCCCTCCAGCTGCAGTTTTTTGGCAGATAACAAGTCTTAACAGTGAAGGCTCCAATTGGCAGGAGTTGGAGGCCCTGGAGGGTGCCTGATACTGACCAGCTGGGGGCACTCACTTTGTTATCAGAGGACTCTCATTGTTCTCTGTGGCATGTATTGGAGTGCCTGTCCAGTTACCCTTGAAATGACATGGCAGATATTGGAGGGCCATGCAAAAAACATAGGAGATTTTCTTGAGGCACATATTGGCATGCATTGGAGGGTCAAGTAGGGTAAGGGTTAATCACTTACATGTACAATGACTTCCCAACAGTAAAGCAAAAAAAAAGGATATTTATTCTGAGATCATTGATAGGGATTAATTCATAAATAACCTACACAAAACAATGACAGTATGACAATATGAAGTTGAGTGAATTAGCAGATGTGGTATATAATTATGTATGTATTTGAGATAAACAAATGGATAATTAATTGATTGCAATAAGATAAGATTATGGTACCAGTAGCACCATGACAAATTTCTTTTGTGAGTTTGTGAGGTTCTGAAAAGAACCAGGGAAATGTAACGTTTTGCCAGACAGTATACTCTAGTACCCGTCTTCAGGGAACTGAGAGATTCCAACATTGAGGGGGTGTTACACAGTGGAACTGGCAGCAGTGAAGCTTTTGAAGAATGCAACTGTGGAGTCCTAGCTGGAGCAGGGGATGCCAGATAGAGTACCAGCCAGCCAGTGTCTCTGTTAGAACAAGCAAATGGAAATTAAAGAGAGGGTCATAGTTGCTGTATCGGTATTGGACATCAGATAATGGATCAGTTTAGCTATATAAAATAAACAATTGAATTGAACTTTGTTAATGCCTTTGGGTTGCAAATGTTACATTCATTGACATTATTACATTTATATTATTATTTGTGTATATATTTTTCTACCTGTCAGGCATATGACCAACATCTTAACATGATCCTCGGTGATGTAGAAGAGACAGTAACAACCATGGAGATAGATGAAGAGACTTATGAGGAAATCTATAAGGTATTTGTCCCGAGTCATGCAGGTCAAATCTGAGTCTCAGTCACGAGTCACAAAGGTTAAGTCCAAGTCTCGAATCTCGAGTGTAAATGTTTCCAGTTTTCACAGCTTTTCTCTAATTTGTGGAAATACATACATACATATTGTTGATGTCCTCTATTAAAGTGGGGTGGTCTTTTCTCAACCCTCTGCATCATCTACCCTCACAATGGACACCTCGGGCAGGGTTGGAGAGTTTATCTGGATGGCCTCTCAATGCCTGGTACTTGGTCACATTAAAGACAGTCAATCTATCACTTGGAGCTTGTTGCAGTGCTTAAAGCCCTGCAGTCGCTCAAAACCAGAGTTCTAATAAAGCTTGGTTTGGTAAGGATGGACAAGTCCTACGTCAACCGTCAAGTGTAAATCACCTTCTGTCTCACTGCTTTACAACTTTGGAGCTACTCAGATGGTGCATTCCATGACAATCTCCCTTCAAGTGATCCATCTAGCCAGAAAGAATGTCCTTGCCGATGCTCTTTCCACAGGTTGAATCACTTGCATGTCCCTCCCTCCCTAGAACTCTTTGGGGCCACTCTGCAAACGGAGGTAAACAGAGGTGAGGTGTTTTCTGCAATGGAATTCCAAAAAAAAAGGATTACCCATTCTGGTAAGAAAACACCTCTGTTTACCATCCCTCCCATTTATGATTTTTTTTTGTGTTTAATTTAAAAATTTAAAAAAAATAGGACATCTCTTTGTGTTACAGTACCTTGCGAGGGACGTGCAATAGGAGCAGAGGGTATGGCTTGTGGGCCTTTTCATATAGCAATTTTTGTGCACTTGCACGCTGATATGCTACTGTACCGGTACATGTAGGTAAACAGAGAGTTATCTTACTAGATTGGACAAACCCTTTGGACTTTGTGAATTCTATGAGCTGGGGAAGGTTATCCTCCTGAATAACTGTGCTCCCTCCCCTTCCGGCACTGAAGGGTATTTGTTTTGTTTAGATACCATTTCTGGAAATTTAATTGATGAAAAACAAAACAGAAAGAAACGAGCACCTGGCTGATATAATATTACCTAGATGCAATAGGGACAAATCACACAGATGGAGATGATTCCTGTACCACTGCATGTACAAAGATGTACATGCACATTCATGTCCACTCTGCATACTCAAGGTTCAAACACACGAAAGTAGTGCATTTAGTGGCAGAACTGTTCCATTTATTTGCAATTTCAGTACTTTTTGTTTTTCATAAAAATGTTGCTTTTGTTTTGCACAAGTACTTTGTTCATTCACAAAATATTGCATTGCTTGTGCAAAGTATTTTCTCTTTTTTTACAGTGATATTGTTTTTATTCAGCAAAGTACATGTACCGGTATACTGTGTTTATTTGCAATAACAAATACGGTATTTCTTGGCACAATCAGGCTTGGCACAATTAGGCTTCCCTACAATGCAGTTAAATAATGTATTCTCTGTCTGTCTTCTTTTTTTCTGTAGACCACAAAAAGAAATATTTCTATGCTGTTTGTCCGTGGAGATGGAGTCATATTGGTGTCACCACCATTGCGATCTGGAACACTGTAGGTGCTGATGGCTATGGTTAGTTTACTTCAACTGTCAGTGTTGACATTGTGTTGACATTTGTTATAGCTTTGACAAGTGTTGTATGTGTGTGTGACCCACATAAGTTGACAGATCTACCTGTGCCTTAACCGCTCCATCAAAGTCCATCCCTTCATTTTGGACTATTTTGGCAGATAAAACATGTGTACCAAGTCCATCAAAATCCATCAGCACCAGTGTTTGATTGCAACGAATTTGGTCCTGAAGCATCATGTGAAGCAGAGTGACTGATGGATTTTGACGGACATGGTCTGTTAGTTTTAGTAAAACTAGAGAGTTGGGGTTTACACAAGTGTCCCTGGCCAATTTGGTGACATTCCAGTTGATCTTACTATTTAAAGCCAGTTGTTATTACAGTTTGTTTTAAGGCCGGTTCATACTTTCATACATGAGAATGCTATGCGAAGGAGATGTCAAGAAGCTTTCGCTGCAAATTTTGCCAGAGGTGAAATGTGTTCAACTTTTGTGTTCAACTTGCCCTAATGTCACAAATTTGTGTTTGTGTTCATTTCATGCAAATTTGAACTGGCCTTTAGAAGTATTACATGTACTTGACTGTTAATTAGGTTTCATGAGTTTTCCCTTTAATTGTACGTACCTGATTATTTTATGTCCACATGAATTAAGATTAAAGTTGTATTTGTGCCATGTGACCAATCTCTGTTTTGAGATTGTGAGGTTCTGAAAAGAACTGGGGAAACACAACATTTTGGACAGCATGCTCTGCCCATTGTCAGGAAACAGACAATAGGAGATTTGTTACATGGTGCTTCTGCAAATTTACTGTTATTGCTTACTTCACCATATCAACCTTCAAAATTATCTACATGAATTGTTAAATTATGTTCTCATAAATGTTTCCATTATTAATGTTGCTTTTAATCTCAAATGAAGAAAACTGGGACATAGAGTTTCAATTCAATTTGACGCGTCACAAAAAATTTCCCATTAACAAAATAGAATGATCAGCAATAGGCCTTGGAAAGCTGAAGCGAGTTTGAGTGAGTATTCACTTTCATGTTTTAATGCTGTGTTGGTACGAGTTTTGCAAGGGAAAAAATACTAACCTAATTAACCCTAACATTTGCAGGTTGCAGATACATGTCCTTCAAAGTTGCCTGGAGAAATATGAAGGATTGAAGAAGGTAGAGCCTAGCCATTATTATTTTACATGGGGATGCCCCTTGAAATTTGTAGTAGAAAGAATGTGTAATTGGGTAACTGCTCGACAGAGGCAGGAAGGATTAAGGAAGATTTATATCAGAGTTTTAATTTGTAGAGAGATTTTAATTTTTCTTGCTGGAAATTTTTCAACAAAGTCAGTTTCTTCACTTGACTATTAGGAATGGTAATTAATTTACCATAGACTACATACATTTCATGTACTTGCAGTAATTAAAGTCACCTTTGAAAAAGGAACACAGGTTTGTGCATTTTTGCATGATTTAATATTCAGTTATTCCAACTTGGACTTGATCGAATATTCGATTTCAAAATGCACCAATAAAGTTAAACATGCATAGGCCTAAACTAGCCGGCAATTGGGATTTGCATGCTCATGTGCTATCCAATGATATCAAGGTATGTGAAAACCTTGTGACAGTTTGGGTGTAAAGCCTGAACAAATCCAGATGTACGGCAGGTAGGTGAGCTTGCTCATACAGCATTCAGCACCTTAGCCAGGTGTATCACCTTCCACATGTCCACCTGCCCTTTTAAATAATATTCATAAATACCTCAGACAGTTTAGCCATTCCTATTGGTCTAGAGCCCGTCACATGGCCAGTCTTCAACAGATGATAAAGACATGGCTAGCTGGTCTTAAACACTTTTCCAGTGTCACATAAACACTACCAGTGAGTCAGAATTTTATAGTTCTAAATTCAAAACACAATGCCCCAGGTGCGTTCTGCGCAACATCGCACAGAACGTGCCACGCGCGCGTCAATCTCCATAAAAGGGTTGTTTACATCTTAATCGCCAGCTGAACACTCCATTATTTAGCTAGAGGGATGTTTCAAAAAGCATGAAGTGAACTTGTTGAACAAAATCGGGATTTTTGACCAAAATACTATTTTTTTTGACCAAAAAGGTATTTATGAATTGGAATAAATGTGTGCTCGGTCAGTATTAATCACTCTGTTTAAGACCGCTTAGAGTCTGGGTGCTGATAATTACCCAACACTCTAAGCAGTCTTAAACAGAGTGATTAAAACCTCTCGAGCACACATTTATTCCCTTAATAATAATAACTGGTTCTTATATAGTATACAAATATTGAGTGGCTCAGCTTGGAATGGGAGGAATATTATCGCAAGGTAAAATCTGGACTTTTCCATTTCAGGAGCGAAGCCGAGTGAACTGGAAAAGTCCTCCCATTTCACAATTTAAAGCCACTCAATATTTGTTTTATATAACTGACATATAGATCCTTGTCATTTGATACATTTGAACTTTTATTTCAATACAAAACTGGAGGAAAATGTATTTCTCTCTTCCAAACCACCCCTTCATGAAAATGTTTGAACCCAACGCTGTAGCGCTGGCTCTTCGGAACAATAAGTGCTATGCGCAATGCTGAACGCCCTCACCAGCATGCATTTGCACACAAATACCGCATAATGGAACAAGAATAATCCTAACTGTTCAATAGTATTTCCCATTCCCCATGGAACTGCGGCATGAATGGGAGCAATAACAAATGCCACGTGATGTGAGTTCCACCAATCAAATGACAAGGATCTGTATGTCGGTTATATAATGCTTTTTAACCAACATCAAAACGTTTTACATTATTATTACCCCTGATCATTGGGCCTATTAAACATTCCAAATACCATCTCAGCTCCCTGGGGAGTATACAGCTCGATGCAGCCTGTTAGGCGAAAGGCAGCTAATTCAAACACAATAACCATCTCTGCCCTCACAGGTACCCATTTATTACTGGGTGGAGAGAAGCAATGAGTGACAAAGTGCCTTGACCAAGGGCACACGCACGATGACCCCGGGCTAGACTCATACCCACAACCTGCAGCTTTACCCAGAGACCAGGAATCCAGTGCCCTGAAGTCCTGAACCACAAGGCCACAGCACTCCACAAACAAAAGTTAACAGCAAGCTCATAAGTATGTGACTTACTGTGACCTACTGTGGCAAAATGTTTTGAGTAATCTGTGCCTGAAGTTGGATTATGTGAGAAAAAAATCCACAATAGATTTTGGGGGTTTTGGTCATTTTTGAGCAGCCAAGGTATTCAAGATTCACGCTTTGCATTTTGGTTATGAAAAGATATAAAGTGGGGGAAAAAATTATGATTTCTAAATTGTGTTTGTGTAAAGTTTTTCGAAAATTGTCAGTAATTTTCTTCTGAACAAAATGTCCCAAATTTATCGTGAAATTTCTAGAGAATAGATTTAAAAGCGCATCGCCTACTCTATGTATTTATAGCAGCAACATCAGTCTATACTGGCCTATCAATGCATGATCAGCTGTGGAAGATGATAAACAAAACGCCCAGCTGCTCGGCGGATGACTGTGTATTAGCGGGGCTTTACTATGTAGTGAAAGTAATGGGGTAGCATGCGCTGTAAGATTTGTTGACATTGATACGTGATGTATTGCAGCACTGATCAAATCTGTGAGCGCATGCCTACAGCGCGCTCACTCAGAAAGTGTTTTAATATAACAAAACCGTCCCACATACTTATGTACGTACACGTCGCACAAATATGATTGCGATGCACAACTTTTTTTCAAAGCTGTTTTTCTCAAAATTATGGTTGCATAAGTTTGCGATGCATTACTGAATTTCTCACGGCATATCTTTGACATAAATTGAGCTACAGAAATAAATTTGGTAGCATTAGAAAGCTACAGAGTTGATCTTTATATAATAAACCTCAAAAAGTCAAGAATGGGAGTTATTCCTCATTATGCCATTTCAGGTCACATACCTTCCATGGCCTGTCTCACCAGGTTGATCTTGTCTTGCAGGTTGATCACGTAAATTGTCCACCTTGTGATAACTGAAGGTTAGAGCAGTGGACTGCTGAAAACTTTGTTCTCTATTGAAATACAGTGACCTGGGAGGCCATTCCACAGCTTGATTCAGTTCAATTACTCCGTCCCCAAAAAGTGTCTGTGGGCTGGGCCATTATCTTGGCCCACCAAAGATGTCAAAAGGTATTATATATCCGACATACAGATCCTTGTCATTGGATTGGTGGAACTCACATCACGTGACATTCGTTATTACACCCATTACTCCTAGGGCCCAAAAAGTCCCATTCGCCCGTGGGAAATGGTATACAAATATTGAATGCTTTGAGTGGTATAGTAAAACTAGCCTCCCGAGGTGATCTATGGACATTCTATTTTCCCGAGGCGAAGCTGGGGGAAAATAGAATGCTCCATGGATCACGGAGGGAAATAAAGCATTCAATATTTGTTTTACAACACTTCACCTACAGATTCTGCTTGGCTATAAAATTTAAAATTATTTAAATCTGAACACAGTTGAAATAATTTCAATTTCAATACAAACTTGGTGGGAAATGTATTTCTCTCTTCCAAACTACCCCTTCGCGAAATGTTTGAATCCAACTCTGTGGTGCGCTCTCTTTTGAACAAAACGCGCAACGCACACACCAGCATGCATATGCACACAAATACTGTGCCGTGGAAATAGTACTTTGGTTGCTAACGGTTTAGTACTTTGGTTGCTACGGATATAGCACTTTTGGCCGTGCACTGAAAGATAACAAAAATAGATAGTTTCATGTGACTCACTCTCGACCAATCAAGACACAGAATCTGTGGGTGAGGTGTTATAAGAAATACTATTCAACAGTTACAGTGGCGTAGCCAGGAATTTTTCAGTGGGGGGGGGGGGGGGGGGGGGCGCTGGAACATTTCATGGGGGGGGCGTCATTTAGGGGCGTCAATCACTTCTCAAAAGTGTGGGGGGGGACATACCTTGATCAGAACTGATGCAAGCGCGAAGCCCTTACAGCATGGGGGTTCGGGGCCCGCTTAAAGGGCCCCCCCAAAAAAATTGGATTCTAGATGTTCTGTGGTGTGATCTGAAGTAATTTCTTACCACTTTCCTCCATGCTTTAACTAATATTTTCTAAAGATAATTATTTGAATATCGTTTTCGAGGTTGGAGTCATTGAATCAGCTATCGGTATTCTGAGCTATTGGCGTGGGGTTCGGGGCCCGCTTAAGGGCCCCGAAAAAAAATTGGATTCTCGATGCTCTGTGGTGCTATCTGAGGCAATTTCTGACCACTATAACCAATAATAATCTTAGCAAAAAAGATAACAATTTAAACATAATTTCGAGGTTTTCTCAGCTAAAGGCATAAGAAAATTTTGTGAACATTGTTTTCGAGGTTGGAGTCATTGAATCAGCTACCAGAATTCTGAGCTATAGGCGTGGGGTTCAAGGCCCGCTTAAGGGCCCCGAAAAATGTTGGATTCTAAATGCTCTGTGGTGCTATCTGAGGCAATTTCTGACCACTTTAACCAATATTTTCTAAGCAAAAGATACGTTGTAGTACATAATAGGGCCCTGTAAATAAGACACAAGTTCAAAAATCTGGGAGGGGGGGGTACATTTGATATTGTGTCCCCCACCCTTCAAAAAGTGGGGGGGGGGGACCAGTCCCCCTGTCCCCCCAGGATTGACGCCCATGGCGTCATGTAGATCAATGATAATTTTTTTAGAAACTCAAAATCTCAGTGGGGGGGGGGGGGGGCGACAAGGTTTCATGGGGGGGGGCGGTCGCCCTTTTTTGTACCAGCGGCCATTCTGTGTTTTTTTTTTAATTTCACACATGTATTGCCCTGTCCGTTAGTGTGCTTAATCATCGGTTTTGAACAGCACCCTCATCAACAAGTGGTACCAGTCATCCCCCCCCAGTCACCCCCCCCCCCCTGCTTTTTAATTTTACGGAGACCAACTGTCCGGAGAAAACTGTCCGGAGTGGTCTCCCCTTCAGCCCATCTTCACCTGCGAAGTGAAATTCATGTTGTCAGCAATTATTGACGTCACGAATTTCGCTTCACTTTCGCTTTCATGTGAAGTATGAACCGGGCTTAACTCTTCGTATGTAACTGTTGAGGAGGTACTTAAGCAAGTGTCTATAGCCCATAGAATTATGCATGCTCATGAACTACATGTAATGTTGCCTTCAGTGACTCGCCCATAAGTCTCTGTTGTAATGCTTGGAGGGGTACTCATAAAGGAACCATAAGTGTTGTTTCCTTAACAACTTTAAGTTTGTCTCCTTTAAGAAATGTAAAGGCTTAACACTCGGACTTGTGTGAACTCAACAATCATGATTTATTCTGCAAGCATGTTTCACAAAAAGTCTTTTCATACTTCCACGATAAAAGCAAATAACTGAACACTTGTATAATACAAGAGGGTTAGTATAAACAAAGCAGCTAGTGCACCCTCTTAGCATAAAACCCTAAGCACACAGAAACTTCTATCAAATGCATCAACAATAGTCATGGACTATAACGTTTGACATGTACAGCATTGAAAAACTATTCAATAAACCTGCTGCTAGCAATTGCGCAAAACAATCCTGTTAAACAAACTTTCACCCCTTTTCTGCAGATCACATTGATTGTATATCACAAATTTAAATGTGCAGTAGATTATTTTTTTTAGTTTAAATACGACAAACAATTGATGGTTTGCTTCATTAGAATGTGTTATTGGTAAGTATTCAATGGACAATCACTAAAATCTAAAACAAACTTCTTAAAAGTTTGAATTTAAGGAAAACAATTGCACATTTTCATCACAATCAAAACATTTCAGACAGAAGAACGTTTTATAAAGTTTATTTCACTGGCTTTCAAATTATCATTGTCAGTAGTTAAAGATACTTTCATAGCAATAGCGCAACGCCAGTACTTCTCTACAATATTTATCTGAACATGCAACTAAGAGCATACTAGTGTGAAGAAACATAAACATAAAGTTTAAATCAAGGAGCCTGATACATGTAGCTGATCATTGCTTGAGAGGTTTGACTGTTATGTTTTTTTTCCCGTTATTGAGGCTTCTATATAATATACAACTATTGACTGTACTGCTTCGAGTGGTGTAGTAAAACTAGCCTGCCGAGGTGGCATGAAGCATGCTATTTTTTCCGAGGCGAAGCCGGGGGAAAATAGAATGCTCCATGGATCACTGAGGGAGGCTATTTCTACACCATGAGATAAAGCAGTCAAAGTTTGTTTTATAACATCTCTATCTCCCAAAGATAAAGCAATTACTGATTAATTTAATCTAATTGCCTAATTTAAATATTTATGACATCATTACATTAGAACAATAGGCTGCTAGTAATGTGAATGCAGCATTTTTTTCTTTCAATGTTCATGCTTATATGTTGACAGGGTTGGCTGAATTAAATCACTGATCAAATGGGTTTTTTTTTTTAACACTGAGTTAAATCTTTTTTTCTTTTTTGGGGGGGGAAATCTTTTTTTTGGCAAAATAAATTTATTGAAGGTCATTTTAATCATTTTTATCAATTGATTCCACTTAATTACAAAGTGTCAGGTGTTGTAAACACATTCAAACCCACCCCCCCTACTTCATCACCATTGACTCAACTTGCATACATATTTTGCATAATACCCAAAATTATTGATTTGATTAAAGTCAAGATCTGAGTTTAAAACTTGATCTTTGAAGTTTGAATTTCAAACTTGACCTATGGAAGCCGGCAAAAAGGGTGAAATTTATCAATTATTAACTCATAAAAAGATTGACAGATATTGCAAACGCCAGTGTTACAACTTTCAAATATGCACTAATCCAAGCCTATTTTTCCAATTTCACCGAAATGAACATATCACAACGATTTTAGCACATGCTTGGATCATTATAAGGGAAATAAATCCTGAAAGTTGCATGAAGATAAGGTCTTCCAAACTAGAGATTTCACCCACCAACGGGAACATATCTGTGTACATGTAGTTTCATTCAAAATAAAGGGTTACACAACCTTTTGAAATCGCCCTTTGCAACCACAAGGCTGGGGTAGGCTAACTTGAACTATCTAAAGGTGCATGAAAGTCCCAGCGTTTCTCCATAAAAAGTTCCGAACATTTCTCCATATTATGGAGAAATACAGAGATTGAAATTTATATAATACCTTTTAAAGGTGCAAGGCCTAATTTCTGTTCTCCACCTTGTATGAAGGACCATCAATCAAACAGTATAAGTTACACCAGGATCAGTGCAAGGGCGGATCCAGGGGGGCCAAAGGGGGCCATGCCCCCCCCCCCCAAACAAAACCATTTTTTTTTCTTTTTATGTGACATTGCAATAAAGGCAGGCAATGAGTACACCACCATCTTTTCCTAAAAAAAACATGGTTAAAGTGGTCAGAAATTGCCTCAGATCGCACCACAGAGTATCTAGAATCCAAAAAAATTTTGGACCCACTTTTTGGGGGAACAAAAACTTTTTTGGCCCCCCCCCCCCAAAAAAATGTGTTGTGGATCCGCCCTTGGATCAGTGCTGCCGGTTTTGAAATTTAGAAGCATTTTTATGATATCAAAATGCCTATGGAGAACTGTATTTGTACTTTTTTTGCATACCATGTACACTTTAACAAATCATGTTTTTCATTCATATCCACACACAACATCATTTCTCAGCTGTATCAATTCGAAGCATGTGCACCTTTGAAGCGTCTTTGGAATTAATGTACCATTAAACCAATGATGTAGACTACACGTAAATGAAAGCAAGTGATATTTTTGTCTTAAGCTTTTATCAATTTATTGAGTTTTGTGGATGACAGGTACTATAGGAATATGTAAACTCCTCAGTCCTCAGAAATGGATGTAAGGATGCATGGGGGGATTTTAGAAACAGTTTAGACACATAAATATGTTGAACAATATCTTTAAATTTGATAAATCTGAGTTAAATCAAATAAATCCAATTGTTTTAAATGTTTTTTTAATAATCAAAACAATCACCAACCGTGTAGATTGATAATTAACAATTGTTGACTGCTATGATGTGGGATATGACTTTTGAATAGCACCCCTCGGTGTTCAAAACGTCATATCCCACATCATAGCAGTCAACAATTGTTTTGTTATACCTCTGTCTTGGATTCTTTTGATTTGGAAGTAAAAATCACAAAACAAACGGCAGTAATCACAACTATCATGACAAAAAAAGTCAACTCGCGTGCATGTCGCGTGCTCGAAACAGCTGATTGTCTGCTAGTTCGCTGCTCCCACTCGTGTAAAAATATGGTGAAAATAGCGTGGATACCAACGATACAACATACAAGTGTTTCACGCTGTACGTACAGAGTCATAGTGTGCCACAACTTTTTATAAACTTAACACATGATCGTTCTAGGCCAATGGGAAAATACAGTATTCAAGACAGAGGTAAAACAATTATTGATATACATGATCCATGGACCATTCTATTTTCCCGAGGCGAAGCCGAGGGAAAATAGAATGGTCCATGGATCACCGAGGGAGGTTAGTTTTACTTCACCACGAGATAAAGCATTCAATATTTGTTTTATAACACTTCACCCACAGATTCTGCTTGATTTTAATATTTTAAATTATTTAAATCTGAACACAGTTGAAATACACTTCAATTTCAATACAAAATTGGTGGAAAATGTATTTCTCTCTTTAAAACTACCCCTTCACGAAATGTTTGAACCCAAGTCTGCGGCGCGCTCTCTTTGGAATAATATACAAATATTGAATGCTTCGAGGGGTGAAGTAAAACTAGCCTCCCGAGGTGATCCATGGACCATTCTTTTTTTCGCGAGGCGAAGCCGAGGGAAATTAGAATGGTCCATGGATCACCGAGGGAGGCTAGTTTTACCTCACCACGAGATAAAGCATTCAATATTTGTTTTATAACACTTCACCCACAGATTCTGCTTGATTTTAATATTTTTTACATTATTTAAATCTGAACACAGTCGAAATAAACTTCAATTTCAATACAAAATTGATGGAAAATGTATTTTCTCTCTTAAAAACTAACCCTTCACGAAATGTTTGAACCCAAGTCTGTGGCGCGCTCTCTTTGGAATAATACGCGCTACGCACAACGCGCACACCAGCACGCATTTGCACACAAATACCGCGCCGTGGAAACAGTACTTTGGTTGCTAATGGTATAGTACTTTGGTTGCTATGCGCATAGTACTTTTGGCCGTGCACAGAAAGATAGCAAAATTAGAAAGTAACATGTGACTCGCTCTCGGCCAATCAAGACACAGAATCTGTGGGTGAGGTGTTATAACATCAAATGGTTCCGATATGGTGGCCACAAAATTGCCTTATTAAATATTCATCACATCATAACATAAGAACAATAAAAACTGCACGATAATACAATTTTTTCATCTTTGTATGTTGCTTTAAGCTAGTATATTAACCCTATCGAGTGATAATTCATGAAATTTGATAATGGGCTCAAATTTACACTTCCGGTAACACCTCCACATATACCAGTTTTTGAACTGTAACACGTCCCGGTCTATACCTACACAGTTTGATGCCATCCGTCTTACAGTTTTATAGTTAGGAGACTATGAGACTGTCTCATATGTCACTTGATCCCTGATGATGACACGATGACAGAATTTTGCGGTTATCTTCAAAATATATTGAATTAAATAAAGTTAATTTAACCACTAAGCTATTACCCACCATGACGTTTTCTTGCTGAATAAAAATGTGTAAATGGGAAAAAAACAAAGAAGAAAACGGGGGGGGGGGAATATTAACAAAAACAAAAGCTGTTCCCAATTGAAGTTGGGAACAGTTTAAGAAACTAACCTAGCCCAACAATCAACAAGTACACACACAAATGTTTACCCACCATGATTCTGTTGCCAAGTAGTCTCTTCAATGAGGGAAAAAGAGGAATTGGACTAAACCAGCTGTGTGTTTCATAGTGGGAGGAAAAATGGGCCACTTCTCATACAGAACTGCTACCCACCTATGATAACAATGGTATGAATTAAAATCTTAAATTTGACTTCCCAGATCAGCTGGTTTGACCTTAATTGGATATGGCTGAACATAATCATGATCAATCACATCCTTGGCCTCTGCTCCTCCTTGGGCCCCAACCACTGGATCATGGATTGCTTCCTCTGTAAGAAAAAAAAAATAATAATAATAGTTTGATGGTAAAACACAAACTTGGAGGTAGCTGTCGACAGATTAAGAAAATTCACATTTCTTGTATCTCCACAGAAATTCTTCCAAACCTACAAATAAGGTATCTAGAGCCATGTTTTCAAGATTAATTATTTCATTCGATCAAATTGTTATTAAAAAAGAATGAGGGGAAAAACGTAATGGTAAAGATAAATGCGACAGTCCATTTACACATACATGACATAGCCCTTGCATATATAGCGTCCTCATCTGACCCTTATGTACATAGTCTTTGTCATGAAACTCTTTCACCACTCGGTATCGGGAGGGACAACACAGTCATGAGAACACACTTAATGAGATTAAAGAAGTTTCCAGTTTGAACCACCTCCATATATCAACTCCTGATTGACTAGGCTGGGGGTAAGTGTATTTTACATTGTATTAAGAACTTATTGTATTAGTTTTCTAGCTTTCCTCAGACTTCATATTTTGAGAAACTTGCTTTGGTCCAATTGAGTTTTCTGTCAAATGTTGTTAACCTCATTATTGATTTCAGGAATTCCTTGTAAGTTATCTTTAGAGCCTCTGCGGATTATATTGTTACAAAGGTCCAGTTGTTGCCTTGGTTTTGTTCAGATATTTTCTATTCTTTGACTTTGAAGAATTTTGATTTCACCTCTTTTATGCATTCACTTTATTTTTAGTTCTAGTTAATTATCATACTTATATTGATAGTTTTAGTTTAACTTTACATATTAATTTGAGCATAAAGTTCTTATTTGTGAATTTTTTGTTCTTTCTCATGACGCAAAATAATACTTCTTATCGAGTCCACTTCACAAAGCTAAATTCGGTTCAGCCAACGCCGAACACATTTCTCTGCATCTTCATTGTACAATGCAAGATCGGCAGCTGATGTGCAAGGGTGTTGTGGAAGAGGGCATCTCAAAAGGTGCTCCATAGTTTGTGGCTCTATGCCACAATTACACATGGTGTCATTGGAACTATATCCACACTTGTTGAGTGTCACCTTGGCTCTGCCAACTCTAGTTCTCAGTCTGTTAAAGCATTTGTACTTTGCCCAGCTTGCGTCCGCACCAGGTGGTAGTTGCTCTCTAGCCATCAGCCCCATGGTTGCCGAGGGTGGCAAACCATTGTTTCTGTCTGCCCACATGGTGACTCGTGCCTCGCTTGTTGTGTCATCCTCAAGAGGAATCACACATTTCAGAAAACTCTTCCTTGACTACAGGCGACTCTGTGCTGGTGTCTGGCCAAACATAGGGTGTCTGTAGAACCCCTCTGTAGTAAAACCCCTCTAGAGTGAAGTTTTTGTAGAAAGTAACACCCCCATAAAAAATTGGAATTGGCCAAAGACAACACAGAGTGCATGTGAGTGTGCCTGGTCACTTTCACATATTTTGGCAAAGTGACCAGACGTACTTACAACAGTGTTCTATTTTGTCTTTGCCCAATAGGTATGTACAAATGTTTCTTTCTTTTTATTCACATCTAGGTTCCTTTATTTCTGTTGTTCACATTTTCATTTACTTGGAGTATACAATCAATGACTTGAGTTGATCAATTGGTTGAAGGTAATTTGTTCTTTGAATTTGTCAACTTTACTCTTTTGCCAAGTTATCTAGAGATTGACAAGATTGAAGTTTGTTTTATGATGCTTAGATATTTTCATTATTGTTTGTATATTCACTTTTATGTAACTTTGGATGAGATTTAAGATGATATAAGTTTGATTAGTTTTTAGCAACTGAACTTTAGTTATTCACTTCAGTTATTCATGGAAAGTTTCACTAAGTTTCCTGGATTTGAGGAAAGTTTGGTGAAAGTTTGTGAAGTTGATAACTTGGATTTCATTTATTTAAGAAACTGGACCATGTATGTTTTATAGTAAACTGTGCTAGTAGATTATGACATTGAATGTAAGTTTCACCATTTAGCCAAGGAAACTTCCATTGCAAGCACTGAGTGTATATAGATAAGCTGAAGCATGGCCTTGCCAGGTTGTGGAGAGTGAATACTAATTAGGCTAGCTAGAACAATGACTTGCTTGTGTGTGTAGTATGGAAAGACCACCTGTCACACAGTAAGGGTAGCACTGGGGGAGCAGTAGTATGCCCCAGGCCATTGACTTGGCTGGAGTTGAGCCATACAGTGGAAAGTCTGTTGCTATAGCAACAAGGGTGCTGGCCAGCCTGAGTAATGTGTTTATCTTTAAGACATGGCAGATAAGAGTTCTGGTAGTCGTGGCCATGAGATTATTAAGTTAAGTTTCCCCTATAGGTTAGATAGTACATGTAGTTGGCCATTAGTTTTAAAGTGATGGTTCTCCTAAAGTTTGATAGTTTTGGCCATACTGATTTAAAGTGTTGTTATTTAGGAAACTGACTTAACCTTTTTCTTGTACATTGTTTGTTTATTATGATGTTTGAATAAACACTTTCACATATTTTGGCAAAGTGACCAGACGTACTTACAACAGTGTTCTATTTTGTCTTTGCCCAATAGAAATAACGTTACCACATGACAGCTGGGTAACAAATCTGGCGATCTTGCCAGGACGTGGTAAATGCATGTGAATGCATTACTGCATGGCAGCTATCCTCGTGAACGTTCCCGGCAGCAGATAGTGCCCTGGAACGGCAGGAGGCAGTGAGGACGACCGGTTGGCGTCGGGAGTAAGGGAGACACCTTGACCTGATTCAGTGACGCAGTTGAGGACGGAGCAGACGAGAGGATGGAGGCCCTGCTAGCATTGCAGCAAAGTGTAGTCAGCCAGATTGGCTGCCTGCAGGAGGAGCAACTACAGCAGGTGTGCACAAAGCTGGGTGTTGATGAACACACTGCCAGCAAGGAAAGTGCACGCCTGGCCCTCATCCGGAGGTTGACCCGCCACCTTAACAGCGAGACCATCGAAGACATGGAGGACAAAGGTCAAAAGGTCTTCGAAGACCTTCGTGACTTCCTGAAGACCATCACTCCAGGAACGTCAAGCGCCTCCACAGACCCCCCAGCCACCCCAGAGTCAAGCTCGACATCCACAGCGGAACCGGCCCCCAGCCCCCCTGCCCTACCAGTGAACCAAATGGTTGGCCTACTGAAGAAGGAGTTTCGAATCAGCGGCCAGGTTGGGGAGCCTGGTCAGAAGGACCGGCTCTCCCACAGTAATCTCATCATGCAGATTGAAAGCGGTTTGCGGAAATCCTACAAGGAGGTTGAGATTGTAGAGGCTGTCATCCGGTCCATCAGCCCAGGCATGCGCTTGAGGAGCTACCTGGAGAGCAAAGAGGGGCTAACCTTGCCAACCCTTCGGGAAATCCTTGAAGCGCACTATAGAGAGGGGAACGCCACAGAAATGTACCAAGAACTCTCGTCTGCCTCGCAAGGGAGTACGGAGTCAGCACACGATTTCTTGGTGAGGACCCTCGACCTCCGACAGAAGATCCTGAAGGCATCAAAGATGGAGTCCACCATCAAGTATGACCCTGGACTGGTGCAGAACATGTTTCTGCACTCATTGAATACTGGTCTCCAAAACGACAACATTCGAGGCGAGCTGAAGCCATTGCTCTTTGACCCCACCACCTCAGACGAATCTCTCTTTCGACAACTTAAGATTGCAGAAGGGAGGGAGATCGTGAGACTGGCCAAACAGAAGAAGGCCAAGACAGCCGTGAAAGTCCAGGAAGTGAATGCCGTGGAAAAGCAACAGCTGGACCTGATGAAGCAACTTCAACAAGAAGTGGCTGCTCTCAAAGTTTCCAACAAGCAAGCAGCTGAGAAGCCCAAGTCCAGTGAAGGCGGCAGCAGAAACCCTCCATCACGCGAATGGGGCTGCAATAGCTGTCGTCAAGCTGGGAAGGGTCCAGAGTGTGACCATTGCTTCTCCTGTGGCAGCTCTGAGCACTTCAGAAGGGGCTGCAAGCAACGGAGACAGACCAAGCAGTCGGGAAACGGCAGCAGGGCGAGCGGAGGGGATGCGTAACTGCCCTGACCTCACAACAATCCCCAACAATTCCAAATGATCAACCCCAACCCCATTCACCTAAACCACCACACCGAAGAGATGTGCCAGAGAGTGTAGCCCTCATGGCATTGTCAACACAACTCACCCAGCAGGGCTCCAGGTTAGTCAAGCTAGTCGGCCCAAAGTGTACCATCCGGTGCAACCTAGGAGGAAGAGCAACGAAAGCCCTTTGGGACACTGGCGCCCAGGTTTCTCTTGTGTCTTCTTCATGGGTCAGCCAGAACATGCCTCATGCAGTTCTTCGACCAGTGACCGACCTGCTTGAGACTAACACCCTGATGGTGACGACTGCCAATAATGCCCAGCTCCCGTATGATGGCTACATTGAAGCAGAATTTCAGCTTCCAACTGGAAGCCACCAGCCCTTATTGGTTCCAGTGTTGGTGACAAGTGACCCCCTCAGTAACCCTATCATCGGCTCCAATGTTCTGGAGGAGTTAGTGCGAGACCCTGAGTATTCAGCCAAATCACTGTTGGCAGCCATGGAGGACACCTTTCCTGCCACTGGGAAGCAGAACGTGCAAGCTTTGGTGAACTTACTGCAACAGCCAGAATCATCAAAGCTCTGCACGGTGAAGACAGGCAGGAGAGATGTCACTGTGAAGAAAGGTTCGTGTGCCAGTATTCAATGCCGTGTTCACACCGGAGCACCTGAATCTACGACAGTGATGTTCGAAGCTGATGTAGAACAACAGTGGTCAGATGGCTTGGAGATAGGTGATGCGGTTGTGACAATCCCTAAAGGCAGCTCTTGTCGCATCAACATCCTTGTCTCTAACCCTACTGGCCATGATGTCACCATTGGGAGAAGAACCTGCCTTGGCACTCTACAGGCAATCAAATCAATACTCCCCGCAGAAGTCAAGGGTGCTCTACAACCTACAACCTCAGCAAAGATGGAAGCAGGCACCGCTGCAAGCGTGTCCAACCTCAACAGTAACAGTACCT